TCCACCTACAGCCACCGACCACCAGGCTCCACCTACAGCCACCAACCACCAGGCTCCACCTACAGCCACCGACCACCAGGCTCCACCTACAGCCACCAACCACCGCGCTCCACCTACAGCCACCGACCACCGGGCTCCACCTACAGCCACCGACCACCAGGCTCCACCTACAGCCACCGACCACCAGGCTCCACCTACTACCACCGCGCTCCACCTACAGCCACCGACCACCAGGCTCCACCTACAGCCACCGACCATCGGGCTCCACCTACAGCCACCGACCATCGGGCTCCACCTACAGCCATCGACCACCGGGCTCCACCTACAGCCACCGACCACCGCGCTCCACCTACAGCCACCGACCACCAGGCTCCACCTACAGCCACCGACCACCGCGCTCCACCTACAGCCACCAACCACCAGGCTCCACCTACAGCCACCGAGCACCAGGCTCCACCTACAGCCACCGACCACCGCGCTCCACCTACAGCCACCGACCACCAGGCTCCACCTACAGCCACCGACCACCGCGCTCCACCTACAGCCACCGACCACCAGGCTCCACCTACAGCCACCAACCACCAGCGCTCCACCTACAGCCACCGACCACCAGGCTCCACCTACTACCACCGACCACCAGGCTCTACCTACAGCCACCAACCACCAGGCTCTACCTACAGCCACCAACCACCAGGCTCCACCTACAGCCACCGACCACCAGGCTCCACCTACAGCCACCGACCACCGCGCTCCACCTACAGCCACCAACCACCAGGCTCCACCTACAGCCACCGAGCACCAGGCTCCACCTACAGCCACCGACCACCGCGCTCCACCTACAGCCACCGACCACCAGGCTCCACCTACAGCCACCGACCACCGCGCTCCACCTACAGCCACCAACCACCAGGCTCCACCTACAGCCACCGACCACCAGGCTCCACCTACAGCCACCGACCACCAGGCTCCACCTACAGCCACCGACCACCGCGCTCCACCTACAGCCACCGACCACCAGGCTCCACCTACAGCCACCAACCACCAGGCTCCACCTACAGCCACCGACCACCAGGCTCCACCTACTACCACCAACCACCAGGCTCCACCTACAGCCACCGACCACCAGGCTCCACCTACAGCCACCGACCACCAGGCTCCACCTACAGCCACCGACCACCGCGCTCCACCTACAGCCACCGACCACCAGGCTCCACCTACAGCCACCAACCACCAGGCTCCACCTACAGCCACCGACCACCAGGCTCCACCTAGGAGCCAGAAATTATGCTACACTATTCGGTTCTATTTAATATCATCATAGTTTATTACTGAAAAAACTAACATTTTAAAATGAACCTTTTGCTGTTTCTCGGTTTAAACATTTTCTGACTAATAGATCAGAAATGGTGTTTTTTTTAGTGAGCATTATTTCCATGCCAGATATGCAACATGTGGAGTCCCTCAGGGAAGTTGTCTCGGTCCCCTTCTATACAGCATTATTAATGATTTGCCAATAATGCTAAATACTGCAGAAATGATGATGTATGCAGATCTTTGTATCAATCTGTATTTAGTGTGGATGAACTTAGGAGGGCAAATAAAGGAAGATTACAACCTGTGACCCAATAGATCAAACTAAACCTGCTGGTATTAAATATTACAGAAAGGAGCAGCCTGGTGCAGCTGGGTTCCAACTGTTCCATCTGTGAAAATCCAACATTGAGGATGAAATGATGTTTTAATTAATCAAGTAGATGAATTAGAACTCTAAGGTGTTATTATAGATGAGAAATAACATGGAGGAAGCATGTAGATAGGATCACAGCTAAAGTAGGAGGCGTCACTCCTGCTCCAGTGCAACAGCAGAAATAAAACAGAAATGTTCCTAAACTGTGCCGCTCTGGTTGTCTGCTGTTTTCCTGCTGCCTCTTAATAATAATTGAATACTTTATTAAGGTTGGGCTGTTATTTAGCCGCTCAGAACTGATCTGTACCTTTCAACAAGGCTGGTGACACTTTTTAATAACGCTGACAGCAGCTTAAACGTTTGATGGATGGTGGAGAACATTTCAAAGGTGATGGAAGAGAGGCAGAGGCAAGAGGAAGCATGCTCTTCAACAGCGCTGCCAGCACAAATCCATCCAGAGATGTGAGCACTCCATCACATGACAGTCAGAGCACTTAATCCCTGTTAACACCCCACCTAAAGGCAGCTGCTGCTTCGCCCTGCTGCTGGCGGAGCAACACACCATCCTGCCTTTATCTCATCGCCAGCCATCAGCAAAGACAAGTAATGGCAGAACTTTAACAACTGTTTTCTCTACGCATTAATGGTATTAAATAAACAGAAAACCATCAGAAAAAGGAGGTGATTGTTTTTTCTGCAGACGTTACACTTCCAAGTTTGAAGACGTTTCTCTTCCATCCAGGAAGATTTTCAGTTCAAAATGTCAGAAATAGCGTTTAGTTCCAGGTTTTATCCAGCAGCCCAACAAAGCCTGGTTTAAGTTTAGAAAACATGCAAATAGAAACGGATGAACGGGTCCCCCCCTTTGGCCTGCAATGTGTTGCAGACGCATGGCTCAACACAGAAGAGCGCCCTCCTCTGGACAAGACTCTGCTCTACATCTACACCTTTCAGAGACATAGACAGGTATGGGGCATTGCAGGCTAACAAAGAAGCCAAACGACCCCCATTCCAAAGGGGGGGACCCGTTCATCCGTTTCTATCTGCATGTTTTCTAAACTAAAACCAGGCTTTGTTGGGCTGCTGGATAAAACCTGGAACTAAACGCTATTTCTGACATTTTGGATTGAAAACGTTTCCTGGATGGAAGAGATGGATCCGGCTCAAAGCGAACAGTGAAACAGACCATCTGATCATGCAGCAGCTGCAGCAGCCATTTCCAGGCTAGTTGGCTTCTTATCTGCATCAAGGTTCAGTCTCAGTCTCCATCAGCTACTAGCAGCTAGCATTAGCTTACTGGAGTCAGTCTAAGAGCGAGTGTTTGGAGGCTGCAGGTGTGTTTCCTAAATGAAGCTTCTTTAACATCATTGTTGCTGAAACCTAGTCTGATTTTCCAGACTTTTCCAGGTTTCTTCTGAAGTAGATGGTCTGTGATTTCTCCTGGATTCAGTCTGCTGCCATGTTGAGGCAGAATGCCTCCAGGGCGGGTTTATTTCTCTGAATGCTGGCAGGCGTGGTTTCATCTTCACACCAGGAAGACGGTTCAACAACAAGATGTTTTCACTGTACCCCACAAACCGAGGAGCTGAGTGTTGAACGAAGACCAGACTGATGATCAGAAGATCAGACGATGATGTTTAACATCCAGCCTTGGATCCTCTGCAGGCCGTGACTAGACGGGAGGACGAGTCCACCTTGGACACTGTCCCAGTCCCACACACAGTCCTGCAGACAGACTGATACCTCGGGGTACTTCAGGGAGACCCATTAACCTATCAATCATGTTTTAGGACTGTGGAAGGAAGCAGGAGCACCTGGAGGAAAGAATCATCCACCCATCTTCCACTGCTTCTCCATCAGGCTGCTGCCTCCAACCGTCTATGGGCAAAAGGCAAGCTCCACCCTGGACGGGTCACCAATCCACCACAGCACACAGGAGTACCAGGAGAGGAGCCACGGATGCACAAGGAGAACATGCAGACTGGAACATCCACTGCTCTGCCCTGCTAAACCTGCCTGCCTGGTTTTCAACTTGAGTCAATGAGTCGATGCAATCAACTGGTTTTCCTTAGATAGAAAACGTTGTATCAATTTCACTGTATGATCTGGTTGAACTGGAAAGTGCCTTGAGATGACATGTGTTGTGAATTTGGCGCTATATAAATAAACTGAATTGAAATTGAATTGAACTTGCAACCTCAGGTCGTAAAGACTGAGCCAGAGGTTCTGTCTGATCCCATGATGTTCAATCATCATCACCATCACCATCATCATCACCATCATCATCATCGTCATCATCACCATCATCACAACGCAGGTAAACACTGAGCTAGCACATAGACCGGACTATGAAAGCTTCATCATCTCCATCATCATCATCATCATCATCATCATCGTCACCATCATCATCATCACCATCATCATCATCATCATCATCACCACTATCACCATCATCACCATCATCATCATCACCATCATCATCATCGTCATCATCATCATCATCATCGTCATCATCATCATCACCACCATCATCATCATCACCATCATCATCATCACCATCATCATCATCACCATCATCATCATCACCATCATCATCATCATCATCGTCATCATCATCATCATCATCGTCATCATCATCATCACCACCATCATCACCATCATCATCATCACCATCATCATCATCACCATCATCATCATCACCATCATCATCATCATCATCATCGTCATCATCATCATCATCATCGTCATCATCATCATCACCACCATCATCACCATCATCATCATGTGGAACTAAATCACAGGAACTCTGTAACAAGGTTGTTTTTAGGGGCTTCTGAAGGTCAAACCCAGATGGCTGCAGGAACGTTATCGCCACCTGCTGGCTCGGAGCGGTTCTGGTTCTGGTTGCTGAGGTTGGAAAGGGGCCCTGGGGTCAGAACCAGAGCGCTGAGGGAGGCTGCTGCCAGAGGCCTATGGGGGTCTAGCGCCCCCAGTGGCTGAAAGCTGAACCAGTTTGAACCAGTTTGGATCAGTTGGTTCCTCCAGGAACCATCAGGCTGTAAATGGATCCAGTGTTTTCCTCTGAAGCGGGTCAGAAACAAACAGCAGGAAACAGCCTGGGGCCCAGGCCCCCCATACCCCCCATTACTCTACTGCAGCAGCATTCAGTTTAACTTCTTTAAACTCCCAATCATCTTAATTCATTAATAATTACTGGATTTTAATGTGCCTGATCATCCCAGAGATCCCAGTTAGACAAACTGGTTCCCAGTCTGCTGGTTTTAGTTCCAGTAAAGGAGTTTTGCTCACATACCTTCAAAATCAGATAAGATTCCTGCGAGGTGGTCATTGACTGGAAGGTCCGACATCCTGCCCAGAATTCCCAGTTAGAGGAGAGGAGAACCTTTCTGCAGCTCTAACTGGTCTGAACCGATAGAAACTGGGAGCAGATTCCTTCCTTCCAGTTCAGGTCCCGCTGCTCTGTGGGACTGCAGGAGCCTCTGACTGGCTGAGGACCCCTCCCCCTGCTGGAGGGGGGCGGGGCTTCCTGCAACACCTGGAAAAAACCCTTAGCGCGGGGGGTGGGGTCAGGATAAAAGATCAGAAACAGAAGAAGGAAAGAAGAACAGTTAATCTAGTTTATTAAATATAAAATATATTTTAACACAAGTTCTAAAGTCCACAGCTGAATATCAGGTTTAATCTCCATCAAAGTTATAAAGTTTTCATGGACATGTGGACAAATGAGAAAAGGTTTAAATTGGACCCCCCCACACACACACACACACACACACACACACACACACACACACACACACAGACACACAGTGGCCCCAGAACACATGAAGGAAAACTGCTGTGACATTAATCCTGGGTTGGAGCTCTAGGACTAATGAGACCACCCCCCCACCCCCCAGCACAGAGCGTGGAAAGCATGGAGGACATGGAGGACAGGAGATGTTCCAGCAGCCGGGTCCATCTACTCGCTAGAACCCTGCAGGCTGGTATCTTCTGCCTCTCTGCTCTGCTGCCTGATCTGAGGTGGCTCTTTGGTTCATTTACATTCACATCAAGTGTGAGACACCAGCTGAATGTGGGGGGGGGGTTGACTCATGCTGTGACTCGTCTCGGAGAGTCTTCTTACTCTGGGTTTGATGTGTGGCAGGCAGACCTCAGGAACCACATTCCACAGTCATTTAGATCAATTGATAAACAGATAAGATGATGCAGGACAGACAGACAGACAGACAGACAGACAGAGAGTGACTCATTGACTCTTCAGCAATCCCTCACACTAAGCATGCTTGTAGCGACAGTGGAGAGGAAAAACTCCCTTTGAACAGGAAGAAACCTCCAGCAGAACCAGGCTCAGTGTGAGCGGCCATCTGCTGAGGCCGACTGGGGTTCAAGGAGACAGAAGCAGACATAGAAAAAGAAGCATAGATACAAAAGGCAACTGTCAACCAGCTCCACAGGCGGCCCCGTCCAGGAAACACACAGCCAGGCAGACGAGCTCCGAGCCAGCTCCCATGTCAGAGGATGAAGAGAGCACATCCAGTTAGTCACAGTCAGAGAAACAGGACTACACTGGAAAACAGGCCAAGCTCCAACATCTAGAAACAAAGGTGTTGATGGCAGCAGCACAGCTGATATTTCTCTCCAGGATGGAGTCACAGCCAAACAGGAACAGACCAGATGAAGCTACTATGAGAAAAAGCAGAGAGAGCAGAACGTTAGAGATTGAACTAACAGATTCTGCAGAGTGGGAGAATAGAGATAGAATGAAGCAGAATGATGAAAAAGGGGTCCCTATGTCCTCCAACAGTCTAAGCCTATAGCAGCAGAACTATAGAGATAGATCAGGATAACCTGAGGAACAATCAGATCACTGATATCAGATGGAGCTTTTTAAGGCTTTATATGTGAGAGCAAATGTTCAGGGAGGTTTAAACTTCAACATCTACCTCTGATTTTTATTCCTTCAGGATTCTCCGGCCTTTACCTCCATCCACTCTGCCTAGTAAACCCTTCTGTTCTTTTCTTGTCTGCTGTTTTATGGCAGAAATGTTAGGTTTATGATGTCCATGGCTACCAATCTCTCCCACCTGAGCCGCACACATCTGCAGCTCCTCCTGACTAATCCCTGCTGTGACATCTACAATATTTCTGTCTGGATGTTGATGCTGTTGCTGCTGGAGTTGTTTCCTGCAGCTAGTGGCTCCCTCTATTGGTAGTAAATTAAAACTGAAGCTGAGTTGTGTCGTGGTGCATTAAAGTCCTGTTAGTTTTTAGCAGCCGCTGAAAGTTATTTATTTTAAGGTCTTTTTTTTGTTCTTTTATTAAAGATACACTGAAGTTTTGGCACCATGGGTTAAAGTAACCTGGTGAATATTTCTCATCCTAGCAGCTGAAACATATTTACAGGTTGTAGAGTTTTTATAAAGGAGGCAGGAGCCATCTTTTGGGAGGAGTGAGGTTGGACTGAGGGGCTTTGATAAATTCCACAAAGACTCCTTCAGGTTTCATTTCAAAAGAGCAAGTCAGCCGTAACTAAGCCATTTTAGATTTACTGGGGCGACCAGAGAAATCTACGCCTCCCTCAGATGTTTTCCCTGCATTAAGCAGCATGAAATGTTCAAACATCACTCTGAAATAAAAAAATGTTATTAGCTGAAACTCTGCTGGGAAACAAACTCCCAGTTTAACTGGGACCAGCTGACTGATCCCTTTATGAGATACAATTAAAACAAGATGGAGCATTTAGACAAATAGTAAAACTATATAGAAAACAATCTTTGGTTTCCCACTGATTGGATCAATAGAGACGCCCTTTAATGTCCCACAGTCAGAAATATCAGGTGTGTCAGTCAGTGGCTAAACCACAGACAGCAATATGAGCAAACATCCATTTTCCCTCACGCCTGATCCCTGCTGGGGTGGTGGGGGGGGGCTGGTGTCTGTCTACAGGTGAGAGACAGGGTCCATTCTGGACAGACAGGAGGGGTCCACCCTGGACAGAGAGGAGGGGTCCATCCTGGACAGAGAGGCGGGGTCCATCCTGGACAGAGAGGCGGGGTCCATCCTGGACAGAGAGACGGGGTCCAACCTGGACAGAGAGGCGGGGTCAATCCTGGACAGAGAGGCGGGGTCAATCCTGGACAGAGAGACGGGGTCAATCCTGGACAGAGAGGAGGGGTCCATCCTGGACAGAGAGGCGGGGTCCATCCTGGACAGAGAGACGGGGTCCAACCTGGACAGAGAGGCGGGGTCAATCCTGGACAGAGAGACGGGGTCAATCCTGGACAGAGAGGAGGGGTCCATCCTGGACAGAGAGGCGGGGTCAATCCTGGACAGAGAGGAGGGGTCCATCCTGGACAGAGAGGCGGGGTCAATCCTGGACAGAGAGGAGGGGTCCACCCTGGACAGAGAGGAGGGGTCCATCCTGGACAGAGAGGCGGGGTCCACCCTGGACAGAGAGGAGGGGTCCACCCTGGACAGAGAGGAGGGGTCCATCCTGGACAGAGAGGAGGGGTCCATCCTGGACAGAGAGGCGGGGTCCACCCTGGACAGAGAGGCGGGGTCCACCCTGGACAGAGAGGAGGGGTCCACCCTGGACAGAGAGGAGGGGTCCACCCTGGACAGAGAGGAGGGGTCCATCCTGGACAGAGAGGCGGGGTCCACCCTGGACAGAGAGGAGGGGTCCACCCTGGACAGAGAGGAGGGGTCCACCCTGGACAGAGAGGAGGGGTCCATCCTGGACAGAGAGGCGGGGTCCACCCTGGACAGAGAGGAGGGGTCCACCCTGGACAGAGAGGAGGGGTCCATCCTGGACAGAGAGGAGGGGTCCATCCTGGACAGAGAGGCGGGGTCCACCCTGGACAGAGAGGAGGGGTCCATCCTGGACAGAGAGGCGGGGTCCACCCTGGACAGAGAGGAGGGGTCCACCCTGGACAGAGAGGAGGGGTCCACCCTGGACAGAGAGGAGGGGTCCATCCTGGACAGAGAGGCGAGGTCCATCCTGGACAGAGAGGCTGGGTCCACCCTGGACAGAGAGGAGGGGTCCACCCTGGACAGAGAGGAGGGTCCACCCTGGACAGAGAGGAGGGGTCCATCCTGGACAGAGAGACGGGGTCCATCCTGGACAGAGAGGCGGGGTCCATCCTGGACAGAGAGGCGGGGTCAATCCTGGACAGAGAGGAGGGGTCCATCCTGGACAGAGAGGAGGGGTCCATCCTGGACAGAGAGACGGGGTCAATCCTGGACAGAGAGGAGGGGTCCATCCTGGACAGAGAGGAGGGGTCCATCCTGGACAGAGAGGAGGGGTCCATCCTGGACAGAGAGGAGGGGTCCATCCTGGACAGAGAGGAGGGTCCACCCTGGACAGAGAGGAGGGGTCCATCCTGGACAGAGAGGCGGGGTCCACCCTGGACAGAGAGGAGGGGTCCACCCTGGACAGAGAGGAGGGGTCCACCCTGGACAGAGAGGAGGGGTCCATCCTGGACAGAGAGGAGGGGTCCACCCTGGACAGAGAGGAGGGGTCCACCCTGGACAGAGAGGAGGGGTCCATCCTGGACAGAGAGGCGGGGTCCACCCTGGACAGAGAGGCGGGGTCCATCCTGGACAGAGAGGCGGGGTCAATCCTGGACAGAGAGGAGGGGTCCATCCTGGACAGAGAGGAGGGGTCCATCCTGGACAGAGAGACGGGGTCAATCCTGGACAGAGAGGAGGGGTCCATCCTGGACAGAGAGGAGGGGTCCATCCTGGACAGAGAGGAGGGGTCCATCCTGGACAGAGAGGAGGGGTCCATCCTGGACAGAGAGGAGGGTCCACCCTGGACAGAGAGGAGGGGTCCATCCTGGACAGAGAGGCGGGGTCCACCCTGGACAGAGAGGAGGGGTCCACCCTGGACAGAGAGGAGGGGTCCACCCTGGACAGAGAGGAGGGGTCCATCCTGGACAGAGAGGAGGGGTCCACCCTGGACAGAGAGGAGGGGTCCACCCTGGACAGAGAGGAGGGGTCCATCCTGGACAGAGAGGCGGGGTCCACCCTGGACAGAGAGACAGGTCCACCCTGGGTCTATCCTGGACAGAGAGGCGGGTCCACCATGGGTCTATCCTGGACAGGGAGGCGGGTCCACCCTGGACAGGGAGGCGGGTCCACCATGGGTCTATCCTGGACAGGGAGGCGGGTCCACCATGGGTCTATCCACAAACAGTCATGTTTTTGGACTGTGGGAGGAAGCTGGAGTACCCGGAGAGAACCCACTCATGCTCAGAGAGAACATTCAGACTCCATGCAGAAAGACTCCGTGTTGGGATCTGGAGATTCTCCACCTTCTCCAGCAGAGTGCGCTGTGGATCTCCTAGGCATCCAGTACTGGTTTGGACAGACCACAAGAACCTGGCTTATATCAAATCGGCAAAAAGATTCAACCCACGGCATTCAAGGTGGTCTTTGTTCTTCTCACGCTTCAATCTCATCATTTCCTATAGACCTGGTTCCAATAACGTCAAGCCCGACTCTCTCTCTCGTCTGTATTCCTCCGATCAACCTGAGACACCCGAACCTATTCTCCCAGCCTCATGTACAGTTGGAGCCGTTTCCTGGGAGATCACTGATCTCATCAACTCTGCCCTGGTTTCTGAACCTGACCCAGGTAATGGTCCTCCAAATAAAATGTATGTCCCGTCTTCCGTCAGATTCCGCCTCATCCAGTGGATGCACGCAGCTAAATTCTCGGCCCATCCTGGAGTGAGCAGAACCATCGCCCTCATAAACAGGCGATTTTGGTGGCCGTCTCTACAGAAAGACGTCAAAGAGTACGTTCTGGCTTGTCCCATCTGCGCTAGAAGCAAGACCTCCCACCAACCACCTTCTGGTCTGCTGCATCCTCTACCTGTTCCAACCCGTCCCTGGTCACATATTGCTGTCGATTTTGTCACTGGTCTCCCGATTTCTAGAGGTATGACTACAATTCTAACCATCGTCGATCGATTTTCCAAGGCCTGTCATCTTATTCCCCTCAGAAAGCTCCCCACAGCATTCCAGACGGCTCAGCTCCTCGTGAAGCATGTTTTTCGCCTCCATGGTATTCCTCAAGAATCGTGGTCCTCAGATTGTGGTCCCCAGTTCATCTCACAGGTCTAGAAAGCTTTCTGTTCTGCATTAAATTGCAAATCTTCTCTCACCTCTGGTTATCATCCTCAATCTAATGGGCAGACGGAGAGGATGAACCAGCAACTCTAGTCCACTCTCCGCTGCCTGACTTCGAACAATCCCACTGACTGGAGTCAGTTCCTGACGTGGATTGAGTATGCTCATAACTCCCTTAAATCTGCTTCTACTGGTTTATCCCCCTTTCAAGTTTCCATAGGGTATCAGCCTCCACTCTTCCCCGCAGACGAGAGAGAGATAACTGTCAGATCAGTTCAACATCACATCCGCCGCTGCCAACGTATTTGGAGGGATACCATCACCACCCTCACCCGCTCGTCAGCCTCAACCAAAAAGTTCGCTGACTCCAAGAGACGTCCCGCCCCTGACTACACTCCAGGCCAAGAGGTTTGGTTATCGACCCGAGACATTCCCCTGAAGGCTATGTCCAGGAAACATTCACCCAGGTTCATCGGTCCATACAAAATCGATCGCATAATTAACCCCTCTGCTGTCCGCCTGCACCTGCAACCTTCTCTGCGCATCCACCCGACATTCCATGTTTCCCAGATAAAGCCTGTAGTCACTAGTTCTTTGTGCCCGCCTTCCGACTCCCCTCCACCCGCCCTGGACATCGATGGTCATCCAGCTTACACGGTTCGCCGGATCGTGGACTCCCGTCGGCGAGGTCGCGGTTGGCAGTACCTCGTCGACTGGGAGGGCTACGGTCCGGAGGACCGCACCTGGATTCCTGCCTCGTTTATCCTCGATCTGCCCTTGATCGAGGATTACGAGAAGTCCCTCCCGTCCACATCCTCGGGACCGCCAAGAGGCGTTCGTTGAGAGGGGGGTACTGTTGGGATCTGGAGATTCTCCACCTTCTCCAGCAGAGTGCGCTGTGGATCTCCTGGGCTGGAGCCCTCCAGCACAGCTGACGTTCATCAGCCCATCAGGAGACCTGCCTATATAATCAGCAGCCAGACCTTCCTTCAACGCCGCAGTGTTGATCAAGTTTGGTTAGCGAACCTGAGCCTCTGAACTACTAGAATCTTTGTCTCTAAGAGTAAACCAATTCTAACCTGCCTCTGTCTTCTCGCTCATAGGAAACCTGTCTCTCGTCTGAAGCTCTGGATGAGCTTAGCCTGTTACCTGCCTGCCTGCCCTAGAGAGCCAAACCTGAAGATCTCACTCTGGAATCCACCTGCTGCTCTTAAGGAAAGAGCTAATCCCTCAAACCAAGGTCTGTCACTAGAAAGTCAGAAGCTAGACGCTGCTGCTGCTGAGCACTCTGCTGAACCAACAGTCTCTGGACCCAACCGGTTCCCTCTCTCAGAAAAGAAAGCCTGGACCTCTTCAAGGTATTTTCAGAAACATCTGAAAACTCAACAACTAATCTGTTAACCTGGCTAATCAAACTCTGCAGACGCCTGAGAATCCTGCCCGGACCAGTTTCCAGAATTCAGTTCATGTTATCTCCGTGCAAACTTTTAATAAACTATGTTGAACTTTTTATCAGTCTCCAAGTGGTGTTCTGCATGTGGGTTTGATTTCTAAACCAACCATGACACTCCGGGCAAACCGGGAATCCTGCTGCTATTCATACTGCCTGTTTTCTTGCCGTTGGTGCCAGATTGTTTGAGCTTTGTGCAGTGGGGTCAAAAGTTCACACATTTGTTACTTCAGTATGTGTAAGTATGTGCTCCAAAAACTACTTAAAGTATCAAAGTATAAAGTAACCTTTAAATAAACAGCTAGATGCCGCTATATGAATCTAAAGCTAAATTTTTGGACTGTTTCTATAAATTCTCTGAGATAGGGCCAAGGATGAGGGAGGTCTTGTTGGTCTCCGTCTCCCGATACGCTCTCGCCTGTGTCCGACCTTTCAGACATTTCAACATCTTTTTCTGAATCCCACATTGTAGCATGGCATAGACAATTCACGTTAGCAGTTTGAAGAACACCTGCTGGCTTCTGATGATTTCCTTTAGCTAACCAATGAGTGTTTGCGTTCTATGACTCATCCAATCACACTAGTTTTCACTAGATGTGGGCGGAGCCAATGATCTGCATTGGATGGAGCACATGACAGGAAATAAAGATTTTGAAACATTAAACCGAAGCCAAGAGGAACGAGTAACGTTTGTTTTAAAAATGTAAGGAATAGAAAGAACAGATACTGGTGTGAAAATGTAATGAGTAGAAGAAGAAGTAGGAAGAAAAATAAATAATGGAGTAAAGTATAGCTACCTAGAAAGTGTACTTAAGTACAATGACAAAGTACTTCCTTACTTGACAGCTCTGGCTGTGTGTGAGATCTGTCTGCTTTGGTTCTGGGACCAAGGCAACATGGCTTAGTGTCTCTGGGTTTCCCTCTGATCCTCTGAACAGATACAAGCCTTCAATTTCTTTCTTTACTTTTTTCTCCAGCTGACTCTCAGCTGTTATGTCCGTTAGTTGGAGAGCCACTTTACATTTCAACAAAATCTCAAAGTGCTACAAAATTCATAGTTAAAACAAAACCGTACAGTAAAAACAGCATACATCGTTAAAACGAGACATTACAATAAAATAACATGCGTAGTAAAAACAAAACAGTAAAATAACCATAAAACCACACAGATAAAATACTAACTAATGTTCAAATTTTAAATAAAAATGTCTTGAGGCCTTTCTTGAACGCCTCCACACTCTGTGGGACCCTAAGAGACTCTGGGAGGCCATTCCAGAGTTGTGGGGCAACTGCCTGGAAGGCCCTATCTCCCATTGTGCAGAGCTTGACTCTTGGCTGGTGCAGTCGGTGGGTGGAGGTGGTGGAGCGGAGGGTTCTGGAGGCGGTGTGAGGAGTTCCTTGAGGTAAGCAGGGGCAGTTCCATGTATGCACTGGTGAGTGAGGAGGCAAAGTTTGTAATGTATTCTGTGTTGGATGGGCAGCCAATGAAGGGACCTGAGGACTGGAGTGATGTGTTCGTATTTGCGCCTCCTCGTCAGGACCCGGGCAGCACAGTTCTGGATGTGCTGCAGCTTTTGTAGACTTTTGCCAGGGACCCCGACGAGGAGGGCATTACAGTAGTCCAATCTGGAGGAGACAAAGGCATGGATTCACTTTTCTGCGTCGGGTTGGGAAAGGGAGGGGCGGAGTTTGGCAATGTTTCTGAGGTGGAGGAAAGAGACCTTGCAGAGGTGACGTATGTGGGAGTCGAACGTGAGATGTGGATCCAATGTGACACCAAGGTTTGTAACAGATGAGGACAGAGGGATGTTTTGACCGAAGATAGGGATACTGTTTAGGGAGAAGGACTTGGTTTGGTGTGGGGTGCCAATGAGAATGGCTTCTGTTTTGCTGCTGTTGAGCTGTAGAAAGTTTTCAGCCATCCATGTCTTTATCTCCTCCAGGCAGCAGTGAAAAGCAGATGGCAGAACTGTGGGAGAAGTGGAGTCCATTATTATGTACAACTGGGTGTCATCTGCATAACAATTTCAATTCAATTCAATTCAGTTTATTTATATAGCGCCAAATTCACAACACATGTCATCTCAAGGCACTTTACAGTTCAACCAGATCATACAGTCAAATTGATACAAAGTTTTCTATCTAAGGAAAACCAGTTGATTGCATCGACTCATTGACTCAAATACAATCCCCCACACTAAGCATGCTTGTAGCGACAGTGGAGAGGAAAAACTCCCTTTTAACAGGAAGAAACCTCCAGCAGAACCAGGCTCAGTGTGAGCGGCCATCTGCCGAGGCCGACTGGGGTTCAAGGAGACAGAAGCAGAGATACAAAAAGCAGCTGTAAAAGGCGGCCCCGTCCAGGAAACACACAGCCAGGCAGACGAGCTCCAAGGCAGCTCCCATGCCAGAGGACGAAGAGAGCACATCCACTCAGTCACGGTCAGAGAAACAGGACCACACTGGAAAACAGGCCGATCTCCAACATCTATAAACAAGGGTGTTGATAGAAGCAGCACAGCTGATGTTTTTTTCCAGGATGACGTCACAGCCAAACAGGAACAGACGAGGCAAAGCTACTCTGAGGAAAAGCAGAGAGAGCAGAAGGTTAGAGATTGAACTAACAGATTCTGCAGAATAGGAGAACAGAGAGAGAATGAAGCAGAATGATGAAATGGGGGTCCCTATGTCCTCCAAAAGTCTAAGCCTATAGCAGCAGAACTATAGAGATAGATCAGGATAACCTGAGCCACTCTAACTATAAGCTTTATCAAAAATGAAAGTTTTAAGCCTAGCCTTAAAAGTAGACAGGGTGTCTGCCTCACGGACTAAAACTGGTAGTTGGTTCCACAGGAGAGGAGCCTGAGAACTAAAAGATCTGCCTCCCATTCTACTTTTAGAAATTCTAGGAACCACTAGTAAACCTGCAGATTGAGAGCGAAGTGCTCTGTTAGGAACATAAGGAACAATCAGATCTCTGACATAAGATGGAGCTTGGCCATTTAAGGCTTTATATGTGAGAAGGAGGATTTTAAATTCTATTCTGGATTTAACAGGAAGCCAATGAAGAGAAGCCAGGATAGGAGAGATATGATCTCTCTTTTTCATTTTCATTAGAACTTTGGCTGCAGCATTTTGGATCAGCTGAAGGCTTTTAACTACAGTTTGTGGACTTTCTGATAGTAAAGAATTACAATAGTCCAGCCTTGAAGTAACAAATGCATGGACTAGTTTCTCAGCATCACCCCTGGACAGGAGATTTCTAATTTTTGTAATGTTCCTCAGATGAAAGAAGGAAATTCTAGAAACCTCTTTGATGTGGGATTTAAATGACAGGTCCTGATCAAAAATAACACCAAGATTTTTTACTTTATTATCTGAAATCAGTTTAATCCCATCCAAATGAAGTGACTGGCTAATCAGTTTCTTTTTCAGAGACTCTGGTCCAAAGACTATAACTTCTGTTTTGTCTGCATTCAGAAGCAGAAAGTTAAGAGTCATCCAGGTTTTTATGTCTTCAAGACATGCCTGTAATCTATGTAATGGGTTAGCTTCATCTGGATTTATAGACAGATATAGCTGGGTATCATCAGCATAACAGTGGAAATTAATCCCATGCTGTCTAATAATTCTACCAATTGGGAGCATGTATAAAGTAAAGAGAATAGGTCCTAGCACTGATCCCTGTGGTACTCCACAGGTAACCTTTGAGCGTGTTGAAGATCTATCATTAACATGAACAAACTGAATTCGATCAGATAGATAAGATTTAAACCAGTCTAGTGCTGTTCCTTTAATTCCAACAAAATATTCAAGTCTTTCTAAAAGAATATTATGGTCAACTGTATCAAATGCAGCACTGAGATCCAACAGGACGAGCACAGATACAAGTCCATTATCTGAGGCCATGAGAATATCATTAGTGACTTTCACCAGAGCTGTTTCAGTGCTATGATGAGCTCTAAAGCCAGACTGAAACTCTTCAAAAAGTTCATTATGGTGGAAGTGATCGCAAACTTGTTTGGCAACTACTTTCTCAAGATTTTGGATAAGAAAGGAAGATTGGATATAGGTCTATAATTGACCAAGTCATCTGGGTCAAGAGACGGTTTCTTAAGCAGAGGTTTAATTACAGCAATCTTAAAAGCTTTAGGTACATATCCCTGTAACAGAGATAGATTAATCACATCTAAAATGGAGGAGGAGATCAAAGGGAATACCTCCTTAAATAACCTGGTTGGAACTGGATCTAACATCCAAGTTGAAGGCTTAGATGAAGACAATAATTTTGCTAATTCAGAGAGTTCAACTGGATCAAAGCAGTCTAAACCCGGTTCAGATTCCATGACTACCTCAGGTACAATCGCGGATAGAGGAGTGCTTATGATCTTATTTTTAATAAGATCAATCTTATTTATAAAGAATCCCATAAAATCATTGCTGCTAAGAGCAGGTGGAATGAAAAGATACCTTGTGTTTTTTGATAATCTGACCGAGTGGGAGCATGTAGATGGTGAAAAGGGTCGGCCCAAGGAACATTTCAGATGGGGGGCGAATGACTGCAGTTTTGAGAGCTGGAGGAACCTGACCGGAGTGTAATGACTGGTTAATTATTGCTGTGATTAATGGACTGGTGGCTGTGATGAACAGTTTAGTTTGTGCCTTCAAGTCGTTGCCCATAGGAAGACGTTACTGGATACAACCTAACGGAATATCTTCAGAACGGCTCCAAATGACACTAAACTCATCTGGGTGAGAAGAACATGATGGAATAACGGAAAATCAAGGGACCAATGAAAAAAAAAACGGCGTTCCCCTTTAATATCCTGGGAGAGGAGGTGGAGGAGCAGAAATCCATTGCTCTTCACCTGGACACCAAACTGGACTGGAGACACAACTGGGAAGCCGTCTCCAGGAAGGGACAGAGCAGACTGGACTTTTGAAGGTCGATTCAGAATCAGAAATACTTTAATAATCCCAGAGGGAAATTACTTCACCACTAAATCCAATCTTTCTTGCTAACAAAGTGCATCGATCGACTTCTTACGCAGCTGTTTTCAAGTTCCAGTCATTATTTTGGAATTATTTTACTGCAAATTTATTGCAATCCCACTTTTGTGTCTTAAACCGCCTGCTTGGCGCCCTCATCAGGTTTAAAATGGTTGCTGCATTTGATTGTTGGTACTGGTTTAGCCAGGGATGTGACATCACCATGGAAGAACTGACATCAGCAGCTGCTCCCGGCTGACTCGCCCCTAAGGTGGTTCACTGAGAGACTGGTGATTAATTAAGTTCTATTTTCTGAAGAAAATTAATCCTGATTTTCTTTATTTCATAATTTAATGAGAAATTGTAAATTCATTTAATTGGATCAAAAAAGTCTGCATCGTCTGTCTTTTCTATTATAATGATTTTACGTCAGGTTATTGTCAGTCAGTCACGTGACCTAAAAGATATTAGAAAAAATGATGGAGAGAGAAAAAAATGGAAATGTTTAAAATGGTCTAAAACAATGATTAGTCATTAATTTTTTGTCAAAGGTATTATTTAACATTTATCAGGGCATGGTTCAGATTTTTAGGCCACTCCCTCCCCAAGTTCAGCATCTTTTGAAAATTCTAGATGGGAGAAGTTTAAAGCGCCGTGAAATAGCTGCTTCACATGCTGCAGATCTACTATCAGTCTGCTGTGGAGAGGCTGATCTCTTCCTCCATCATCATCGTCATCATCATCATCATAGCTAATGACTGAAAGAAGCTGAAGCAGCTGATTAAGAAGGGCGGCTCTGTTCTAGGACTCCTCTAGAACCTCTGGAGATGAAGAAGATGATGGACAGCAGTGAGGATCTTCTAGAGGCGACTGACCTTCCTGCCTACAGCAGGAGCTGCCATCTGTCTCATATTTCTACTTCTAATGACATCGCTGTTCTTTGCTCTTATTATTTATTTCCTTCCAGTTGAAGATTTTAATTTTGAATTCAAATATTTCCTTTGAACTTTATTTTTCTTCTTATAAAAAATCTTTCATTCCTTTAGAGACAGCATGAAAAGTCAGCTGAGTACAAAACATAGAGAGGAAAACAAGAAGAAAAGGGACCAGAAGAGAGGGACACAACCTAGAACAGATAATGGATGTCTATTCTATTAACATTTCTCTATCTGGAGAATGGGGCTGTTTTCAGCGGGCCCCCTGGGGCCCCACATTTCCTAAACCCGCCCCTGGTCCACTCCTCTCATGTTCCGATCTGTAAAAAGGCTCGCGCTGTGATCAACAGACTGACCAATCCGGTGCGGCGGGGTGTGACGTCAGCGCTGCCAGCGTGGAACGTCGCTCGGTGGATCCAGGAAGTAAACTGTCCGGTTCGGTCGGTGCCACCGGAACTCCCAAACCTCCCAGGATTGAGTCCAGAGGCTGCAGTGGTTCCGGTCCCAGACATTCCGCAGCGGAACCCCGCAGAACCGGAACCGGATCCGCTGCGTCCGGCGCCACGGAGCTGTCAGCTGCTGGCTTAGAGGTAAGGAGGAACCGGTCCGGATGGGCTGCTCTCCTGGATCCATCCAGCCCGGAGCTCCCGGGACAGCAGCGGTCATAATCCCACATTTTAATCCCTAATTTCAGTTCTGGAAACTGGAAGTAGAAACTGTCTGGTAGAAACACTCTTTTGGACTCATTTAAACCTTAAATCTTCAGGAATCTAAAGAGAAAAATGTTTCAAACGCCTTTTTATTTGATCACAGTGAAAATCATTCAGCTGCAGGCTCTACAGCTCCCACAGCATGATGCTGCCACTGCCATGCTGGCCACCATCAATCTGATTTAACTTTAGCACATTTCAAAGGACTTTCTAATCACTGGGTCACAACCAGATGTTTGATCTCAGGTTGATCTTCCTGAGCTGTGCATCTCTGCATGGTCTTCTTCCTGTCTGATCAAAGCTCTGGGTGGACATCCATGTCCTGCTGGGTCTGCAGGTGACCCGGCTCCATCCTGCTGGTTGTTCTGTAAAGAAAGTCTCTGTCCAGAACCAGAGCAGCTGCAGCTAAATGAAGGTAGTGAGCTTTGCAGCAAAGCAGGAATGCAGGCCTTCCTCTCTAGGATCTTCACATTCTGTCGGTCACGTGAACATCCAGAGGAACTGTCCAAGGTCTGACGTCACAACCAACAGCTAAACTTTAACAGACGGATCAGAAATCTGCCTTCACTGTTGGCTGCTTGGTTCATCTCAGGAGCTCCTCTGCAAAAACCTGCAGGATGGTGTCACTAAACCTGACCCTGTAGCTGACCCTGTAGCTGACCCTGTAGCTGACCCTGACCCTGTAGCTGACCCTGTAGCTGACCCTGTAGCTGACCCTGACCCTGTAGCTGACCCTGACCCTGTAGCTGACCCTGTAGCTGACCCTGTAGCTGACCCTGACCCTGTAGCTGACCCTGTAGCTGACCCTGTAGCTGACCCTGTAGCTGACCCTGACCCTGTAGCTGACCCTGTAGCTGAGCATGACCCTGTAGCTGACCCTGACCCTGTAGCTGACCCTGTAGCTGACCCTGACCCTGTAGCTGACCCTGTAGCTGAGCATGACCCTGTAGCTGACCCTGTAGCTGACCCTGTAGCTGACCCTGACCCTGTAGCTGACCCTGACCCTGTAGCTGACCCTGTAGCTGACCCTGACCCTGTAGCTGACCCTGTAGCTGAGCATGACCCTGTAGCTGACCCTGACCCTGTAGCTGACCCTGTAGCTGACCCTGACCCTGTAGCTGACCCTGTAGCTGACCCTGACCCTGTAGCTGACCCTGACCCTGTAGCTGACCCTGACCCTGTAGCTGACCCTGTAGCTGACCCTGTAGCTGACCCTGTAGCTGACCCTGTAGCTGACCCTGACCCTGTAGCTGACCCTGACCCTGTAGCTGACCCTGTAGCTGACCCTGACCCTGTAGCTGACCCTGTAGCTGAGCATGACCCTGTAGCTGACCCTGACCCTGTAGCTGACCCTGTAGCTGACCCTGACCCTGTAGCTGACCCTGTAGCTGACCCTGTAGCTGACCCTGACCCTGTAGCTGACCCTGACCCTGTAGCTGACCCTGTAGCTGACCCTGACCCTGTAGCTGACCCTGTAGCTGAGCATGACCCTGTAGCTGACCCTGACCCTGTAGCTGACCCTGTAGCTGACCCTGACCCTGTAGCTGACCCTGTAGCTGACCCTGACCCTGTAGCTGACCCTGTAGCTGACCCTGTAGCTGACCCAGACTCTCTAGCTGACCCTGTAGCTGACCCTGTAGCTGACCCTGTAGCTGACCCAGACTCTCTAGCTGACCCTGTAGCTGACCCTGTAGCTGACCCAGACTCTGTAGCTGACCCTGTAGCTGACCCTGACCCTGTAGCTGACCCTGTAGCTGACCCAGACTCTGTAGCTGACCCTGTAGCTGACCCAGACTCTCTAGCTGACCCTGTAGCTGACCCTGTAGCTGACCCTGTAGCTGACCCAGACTCTCTAGCTGACCCTGTAGCTGACCCTGTAGCTGACCCAGACTCTGTAGCTGACCCTGTAGCTGACCCTGACCCTGTAGCTGACCCTGTAGCTGACCCAGACTCTGTAGCTGACCCTGTAGCTGACCCTGTAGCTGACCCAGACTCTGTAGCTGACCCTGTAGCTGACTCTGACCCTGTAGCTGACCCTGACCCTGTAGCTGACCCTGACCCTGTAGCTGACCCTGTAGCTGACCCTGTAGCTGACCCAGACTCTGTAGCTGACTCTGTAGCTGACCCTGTAGCTGACCCAGACTCTGTAGCTGACCCTGTAGCTGACCCTGTAGCTGACCCAGACTCTGTAGCTGACCCTGTAGCTGACCCTGTAGCTGACCCTGACCCTGTAGCTGACCCTGTAGCTGACCCAGACTCTGTAGCTGACCCTGTAGCTGACCCTGTAGCTGACCCAGACTCTGTAGCTGACCCTGTAGCTGACCCTGTAGCTGACCCAGACTCTGTAGCTGACCCTGTAGCTGACCCTGTAGCTGACCCAGACTCTGTAGCTGACCCTGTAGCTGACCCTGTAGCTGACCCAGACTCTGTAGCTGACCCTGTAGCTGACCCTGTAGCTGACCCAGACTCTGTAGCTGACCCTGTAGCTGACTCTGACCCTGTAGCTGACCCTGTAGCTGACTCTGACTCTGTAGCTGACCCTGTAGCTGACCCTGTAGCTGACCCTGTAGCTGACCCTGACTCTGTAGCTGACTCTTTAGCTGACCCTGTAGCTGACTCTGACTCTGTAGCTGACCCTGACCTATTAACCTTCTTCGTATGTTTTTTTTTTTTGGCTGTGAACTTGTTCTCCTTCCTCTCCCTTAGAACCCCCTCCCTCTCTGACGATGGTTGACGCCACTCTGACTGAAGTGGGCAAGAACCTGAGTGAAGCCATGAGGATCCTTGGAGATGAACAGACGTAGGAAGAAATGTTTGTTAACAAAGATCCAGAGCGTCAGTAGGATGGAGGCTGATGGAGCTGCTGTGTCTGTTTCTGTGCAGGGAGTCTGACGCTGGAGCTCCAAGCAGAAGGTTCAGTAGAACCAGCATCCCTGGACCCCTGCAGGGAGAGTAAGTGACTCTGTCAGCTTCACAGACCCGCCCATGTTTCGCTGTTTATGCTTTCATCTGGTCGATATTTTTATATTAGACATGAAAAGCCTCAGAAAGAACGCCCAGAACAAAGTGATGGCAATCATTTTAACGTGTTTATCAAACTACGCTTTAAAACACATCAAACCAAGACCTTCAGACAGACGCCTAACCCTAAAGGTCATTTCAAAACGAAAGATAGAAAAAGATAATTTGATATAAAATTATATCCAATTCTTGTTCAGCCGCTAATTAAACGAGCAAGTTGCTGCAACTTAACAAGGAATCAGATTTAAGTTGCTTTTTGCTTTAAAGCAGACATGTTGGGAGGATCTGGTTTAACTGGTTTGGATCTGGGAAGTCGTGGGGGGGGTTAGTGTCCAGGATGTGTGTGCTCTGCAGAGACGTCAGCTGCTCTTTTAGTGGATTCCAGTCCTGGATGGAGGGAAGCTCAGCCCAGATGATCCTCTCTGCTAGTTCTGCCCACATTTCTTGGTCCCCTGTTGAAGTATAAAGTTAGGCCGGCCTAAACGGCACCAGTTTTCCCCTTTTTGGGCCGATTCTCCAGTTCTGCTAATTTTTTGGATCAGACCGAGTTTCAGGCTCATGGTGCGTCCTGCGTCATGTAGCATACAGGGGGTAAGGAGAGGCGATCAGCCTCTAACGACCGCCTCCCCATCAGGAATCAAAAGGTCGGGAGAAAATCAAACATGTTTGAAATTGAGTTGGGCGTCTTGTTGAAGCAGAGCTACAAGCCGATTTACCAGAACTTCACGCACTGCACATGGGCAGACAAGGGAGTTCTTCTTCTTCCAGATTGAAGAGTCTGACCAGCGCCATCTCTAGGCGCTGAGTTTTCTGGACGTTCAGTGGAAGAACAAACATTGATCGCTGTGAACTTTTAAATCGTCGTCGTGCAGCTTGAGCTGTAGCTGAGAACAACGTTGGATGCTCCTCCTAAAGAGGCAGTTTCTATTTATGAATCAAAATATTGATAAGTCTCGATGAATTTCATGTTATGATAAATTAAGATACAACTGGAGTTAATTAATCAAACATTAAATGTTCATTTTAAACAAAATAAATGGCCTAAGTATCATAGTCGGCTGTAAATCATAGAGTTTCAGTAACTGAAAGTAGATCAGCTGTTGCTCCAATCAGACAGACCTGTAGGTTATAAACAAACTTAAAGCACGTCGTGGGAAAAAAGTATTCAACCATTTATTCCAGTTAAATAAACAGAGATCGATGGATTTCACTCAGTCTGCATTTTATTTTATTTTATCTTTGCAAAGAGTGAACAGTTCATCATGCGGTCCTTACTGCGCGGTAATCGGTCCTGTTCTGATCCAGCAGCGTTCGTTCCTCCTTACTGACAATAATAGAAAGCAGTCAGAGTCAAAACTAATTACAGACACTTTGGTTAAACAGTAACATGTTATGAATAAACCTGAGAAAGAATCTGGTTTGTTATGGAAGAAGCTCTGCTGGTCTACAAACAGCCTCACTCAGGCATCATGTGGCCTTGCAGGTCAAACAGGCTGATTGAAAACTTTTATAGTGAGTAAATAGCATCAATTAATATATGAAATAAGAGAGACTAAATTTCCCCTCCGTCTGCTTCCTACCTTCATTGAGATCATGTCTGGTAATGGGGTCGATCTGCTGGATGATGAACAATCTAAGATGATGTTTTCTTGGTTTGCAGCTCAGTGGGGACAATATGCTTGACTTTCAATGTGTTTGTTCTGCAGCGGTCAGGATGTTACCACCATACTGCACCTTGTGCACCACCTGATCCACGAAGACGAGGATGAGGAGGGAGCGAAGGACACGCCCAGACAAGCGTGAGTAAAACCAGCAGCCAATGAAAGCGCTCCGTCAGATAAATGATGCGTCAATCGACAGTACCTGTAGACTTTCTGGTTTTGTTAAAGATCCAAGCTCTCCTTTCCTGGTCCGTCTGTTCATCCCTCCTTGGTTCCTGTCTGATTCTATTCAGTTTATTTCTATAGCTCCAATTCACATCATGTCATCTCAGGTCACTTTCCAGATCAACCAGATCATCCAGTCAGATCGATTCAAAGTTTTCTATCTAAGGAAAACCAGCTGATTGCATCGACTCATTGACTCTTCAGCAATCCCTCACACTAAGCATGCTTGTAGCGACAGTGGAGAGGAAAAACTCCCTTTGAACAGGAAGAAACCTCCAGCAGAACCAGGCTCAGTGTGAGCGGCCATCTGCTGAGGCCCACTGGGGTTCAAGGAGACAGAAGCAGACATAGAAAAAGAAGCATAGATACAAAAGGCAACTGTCAACCAGCTCCACAGGCGGCCCCGTCCAGGAAACACACAGCCAGGCAGACGAGCTCCGAGCCAGCTCCCATGTCAGAGGATGAAGAGAGCACATCCAGTTAGTCACAGTCAGAGAAACAGGACTACACTGGAAAACAGGCCAAGCTCCAACATCTAGAAACAAAGGTGTTGATGGCAGCAGCACAGCTGATATTTCTCTCCAGGATGGAGTCACAGCCAAACAGGAACAGACCAGATGAAGCTACTATGAGAAAAAGCAGAGAGAGCAGAACGTTAGAGATTGAACTAACAGATTCTGCAGAGTGGGAGAATAGAGATAGAATGAAGCAGAATGATGAAAAAGGGGTCCCTATGTCCTCCAGCAGTCTAAGCCTATAGCAGCAGAACTATAGATATAGTCTGGTGATTTGCTGCTTCCATTTTTAGTATCTTTAATATCTGCTTTAATATCTGAACATTTGTCTTTTTCCCAGCGGATATTAGAATGAAGCAGATCCAATCCTTATGAAAGAGATCAGATCCGGTTCTGTAACATCTGACACATTTGGATCTTTAAACAGCATTATTATCCAAACCTCAGCATCAGAACCCACAGACTCAGCTTAACAATGTTTTTTATTCATTTCCAGTATACAAAAACACATTGACACGTGTTTGCACCATTGGCACAATGAAGACCAGGCAAACCTCATTGAATACACACATACGAAACAAAATAAAATAAGTAATTAATTCAAATTAATTAAAGTTTCAAAGAGTACGTTCATAAAACGGTAACAATGATTAAAATTATAAATAATATTGAAATGAAATGAATAAATAAATAAAAATATTACACTCAATAGCATTACAAATGAATACAATCTACTGTTGCTTAAGAAAGTCCATTAAGGGTGTCCATACCTCCTCAAATTCTTGAGCGTTACCTCAGACTACATGGGTTAACTTTTCTAATGTGACACAGATTAACATTTCTCTGATCCAAGATTTTAAGGAGGGTATTTCAGTCACTCTCCAGGATAGTGCAATCCTCCTCCAGGCCTGCAGGAGGCCAATGTTGATCAGTCTTATACTTAGAGTTCAGATGAAAGCAATCCGAGTACATTCCTAAAATACAGAGATTTACTATGCAAGGTACCTGAGTACCTATGATTATACTCAGAGTGTAGACTACCCTTTTCCAAGAATCCACCAACTTAGGAACTTCCCATACAAAATGTATCAAAGTAGCTTTCTTAGTCAAACATTTCAGGCATGTATCTGGAACATCAGGTGACCATTTATTGAGTTTCTCAGGAGTGATGTATATCCTCATTAACCACTTGTGCTGCAGCAACTTCAGTCGAGTATTAATGGTTGGTGATCAAGCTTTTAAACAAGCCGACATCCAGTCAGCTTCACCAGTATCTTCCTCTCTCTCTGTCTGGTCTCTGGTCCTCTCTCTCTGTCTGGTCTCTGGTCCTCTCTCTCTCTGTCTGGTCTCTGGTCCCCTCTCTCTGTCTGGTCTCCGGTCCTCTCTCTCTGTCTGGTCTCTGGTCCCCTCTCTCTGTCTGGTCTCTGGTCCTCTCTCTCTGTCTGGTCTCTGGTCCTCTCTCTCTGTCTGGTCTCTGGTCCCCTCTCTCTGTCTGGTCTCCGGTCCTCTCTCTCTGTCTGGTCTCCGGTCCTCTCTCTCTGTCTGGTCTCTGGTCCTCTCTCTCTCTGTCTGGTCTCCGGTCCTCTCTCTCTGTCTGGTCTCCGGTCCTCTCTCTCTGTCTGGTCTCTGGTCCTCTCTCTCTGTCTGGTCTCTGGTCCTCTCTCTCTGTCTGGTCTCTGGTCCCCTCTCTCTGTCTGGTCTCTGGTCCTCTCTCTCTCTGTCTGGTCTCTGGTCCTCTCTCTCTGTCTGGTCTCTGGTCCCCTCTCTCTGTCTGGTCTCCGGTCCTCTCTCTCTGTCTGGTCTCTGGTCCTCTCTCTCTGTCTGGTCTCTGGTCCCCTCTCTCTGTCTGGTCTCTGGTCCTCTCTCTCTATCTGGTCTCTGGTCCTCTCTCTCTATCTGGTCTCTGGTCCTCTCTCTCTGCCCGGTCTCTGGTCCCCTCTCTCTGTCTGGTCTCTGGTCGTCTCTCTCTCTCTGTCTGGTCTCTGGTCCCCTCTCTCTGTCTGGTCTCTGGTCCTCTCTCTCTATCTGGTCTCTGGTCCTCTCTCTCTATCTGGTCTCTGGTCCTCTCTCTCTGCCCGGTCTCTGGTCCTCTCTCTCTGTCTGGTCTCTGGTCCCCTCTCTCTGTCTGGTCTCTGGTCCTCTCTCTCTATCTGGTCTCTGGTCCTCTCTCTCTATCTGGTCTCCGGTCCTCTCTCTCTGCCCGGTCTCTGGTCCTCTCTCTCTATCTGGTCTCTGGTCGTCTCTCTCTCTCTGTCTGGTCTCTGGTCCGCCCTCTCTGTCTGGTCTCTGGTCCACTCTCTCTGTCTGGTCTCTGGTCCTCTCTCTCTGCCCGGTCTCTGGTCCTCTCTCTCTGTCTGGTCTCTGGTCCTCTGTCTCTGCCCGGTCTCTGGTCCTCTCTCTCTGCCCGGTCTCTGGTCCTCTCTCTCTGTCTGGTCTCTGGTCCTCTCTCTCTGTCTGGTCTCTGGTCGTCTCTCTCTGACCGGTCTCTGGTCCTCTCTCTCTGCCCGGTCTCTGGTCCTCTCTCTCTGTCTGGTCTCTGGTCGTCTCTCTCTGTCTGGTCTCTGATCGTCTCTCTCTGTCTGGTCTCTGGTCGTCTCTCTCTGTCTGGTCTCTGGTCGTCTCTCTCTGTCTGGTCTCTGGTCCTCTCTCTCTATCTGGTCTCTGGTCCTCTCTTTCTATCTGATCTTTGGTCCTCTCTCTCTGCCCGGTCTCTGGTCCTCTCTCTCTTTCTGGTCTCTGGTCCTCTCTCTCTGTCTGGTCTGTGGTCGTCTCTCTCTGCCCGGTCTCTGGTCCTCTCTCTCTGTCTGGTCTCTGGTCCTCTCTCTCTGTTTGGTCTCTGGTCCTCTCTCTCTATCTGGTCTTTGGTCCTCTCTCTCTGCCCGGTCTCTGGTCCTCTCTCTCTGCCCGGTCTCTGGTCCTCTCTCTCTATCTGGTCTCTGGTCGTCTCTCTCTCTCTGTCTGGTCTCTGGTCCGCCCTCTCTGTCTGGTCTCTGGTCCACTCTCTCTGTCTGGTCTCTGGTCCTCTCTCTCTGTCTGGTCTCTGGTCCTCTCTCTCTGCCTGGTCTCTGGTCCACTCTCTCTGCCTGGTCTCTGGTCCTCTCTCTCTGTCCGGTCTCTGGTCCTCTCTCTCTATCTGGTCTCTGGTCGTCTCTCTCTCTCTGTCTGGTCCCTGGTCCTCTCTCTCTGCCTGGTCTCTGGTCCTCTCTCTCTGCCTGGTCTCTGGTCCTCTCTCTCTGCCCGGTCTCTGGTCCTCTCTCTCTATCTGGTCTCTGGTCATCTCTCTCTCTCTGTCTGGTCTCTGGTCCTCTCTCTCTGCCTGGTCTCTGGTCCTCTCTCTCTGTCTGGTCTCTGGTCCTCTCTCTCTGTCTGGTCCCTGGTCCTCTCTCTCTGTCTGGTCCCTGGTCCTCTCTCTCTCTGGTCCTCTCTCTCTGCCTGGTCTCTGGTCCTCTCTCTCTGCCTGGTCTCTGGTCCTCTCTCTCTGTCTGGTCCCTGGTCCTCTCTCTCTCTCTGGTCTCTGGTCATCTCTCTCTCTCTGTCTGGTCCCTGGTCCTCTCTCTCTGTCTGGTCTCTGGTCCTCTCTCTCTATCTGGTCTCTGGTCATCTCTCTCTCTCTGTCTGGTCCCTGGTCCTCTCTCTCTGTCTGGTCCCTGGTCCTCTCTCTCTCTGGTCCTCTCTCACTGTCTGGTCCCTGGTCCTCTCTCTCTGCCTGGTCTCTGGTCCTCTCTCTCTGCCTGGTCTCTGGTCCTCTCTCTCTGCCCGGTCTCTGGTCCTCTCTCTCTGCCTGGTCTCTGGTCCTCTCTCTCTGTCTGGTCTCTGGTCCTCTCTCTCTGTCTGGTCCCTGGTGCTCTCTCTCTGTCTGGTCCCTGGTCCTCTCTCTCTCTGGTCCTCTCTCTCTGCCTGGTCTCTGGTCCTCTCGCTCTGCCTGGTCTGCAGCTGCTCCTGTCTTCACCCTTATCTGCTCCTCTCCTTACCTGTTGTCCATTTAATCTGCCCCAAAGCTTTTGCTTCTGATCAGACAGAAGTGCTGCAGGTTGCGGCCTCTAGAGGATCTGTTGGACCTGGGAATGCTGGCAGTACTTTTTGTCTCGCTTAATGAAATCCAGGTCAACCATGCTGAGTTAAAATCCGTGAGCTGCAGATAGAAGCGCCTCCTAATGGTTGAAGCATGTTCTGTGTTTGGAGCCACGAACTGTTGGGGGAAATGTCAAATGAGCAAGAGCTGGTCTCTGATTCAGGGACGCGTCCTCAGGCTTATTGTCACCAATGAAAAAAAGACAAATTAATTTACTGAGCTGAAAGAACCTCTGAACACGAGCTCTGATCAGGTCCTTGAATGCTTCCCAGAACAGGTGGCACCTGTGAAGCGCTCTGAACAGAACCTGAGCCATAGATTGGACCTATCAATGCTGTTATCTTCTGCCTGTCTCCAGCAGGATGCAGAATGTGGGGGAACAGGGCCACATGGCCTTACTGGGTCACAGCCTGGCCGCCTACATCTCAGTGCTGGACAGAGAGCGCCTCCTGAAGCTGACCACCAGGATCCTGTCTGACACCACGCTGTGGCTCTGCAGGATCTTCAGGTAAAAACCTGCAGGGCATCCAGTAGAGGCTCTGACAGGTTTTCATCAGAGGGTTAGACCAGTGTGGCTCCTGAGCCACGTATAGCCTTTTGCTTTTCTCTCTATGATGCAGCTTAGGAAACAGAGGCTCTGTCCTCCGAACATTCGGTGGGCCTGGTTGATGTTTCCATGTAATGAGAACCCGCCTGACCTGCAGGTACGAGAACGGTTCCGCGTATTTCCACGAAGATGACCGAGACGGCCTGGTAAAGGTCTGCCGACTGGCCATCAACGCCCAATACGAGGAGTATACGACTGAAGGATATGCCGTCTTAAGCTCCAGACAGCCGGTCATCTACCACAGCGCCTCCTGCAGGCCCGGCCTGGGACAACACCTCTGCAGCCAGGTGGGTGTAATCCACTGAGTGGGTGAAGAGGGAAGGTCCAGTTCTGTTTAAAGTCTGTCCAAAAAAGGCTTGAAGGATTCTAAGATTTCACAAAATCAATCTTGAATCAATTTTTTGGAGAGATAAATGACATAGAGCTCATTCAGACCATTTTCATACCCTTTTATTTCCACATAGGAGAATCTGAGGTGTGTGTGTCTACTCGTGAATGTATCGTTAGCAACATTGGCAGATCGCTAAGTTCATGGGTCAAAATGCAGGGAGTTAATTTCTCCATTGTGGGACAATAAAGGGATTTACATATTTAAAAGTTACACAATGGATGGATGATGGATGATGGATGGATGATGGATGGATGATGGATGGATGATGGTTGGATGATGGATGGTTGGATGATGGATGGATGGATGGATGGATGGTTGGATGGATGGATGGATGGATGATGGTTGGATGATGGATGGATGGATGGATGGATGATGGATGGTTGGATGGATGGATGGATGGATGATGGTTGGATGATGGACGGATGGATGATGGATGGATGGATGATGGATGGTTGGATGGATGGATGGATGGATGGATGATGGATGGTTGGATGGATGGATGATGGATGATGGATGGTTGGATGGATGGATGGATGGATGGATGATGGTTGGATGATGGATGGTTGGATGATGGATGGATGGATGGATGGATGGTTGGATGGATGGATGGATGGATGATGGTTGGATGATGGATGGTTGGATGATGGATGGATGGATGGATGATGGTTGGATGATGGATGGTTGGATGATGGATGGATGGATGGATGGATGGATGGATGGATGGTTGGATGGATGGATGGATGGATGATGGTTGGATGATGGACGGATGGATGATGGACGGATGGATGATGGATGATGGATGGTTGGATGGATGGATGGATGGATGATGATGGATGGATGGATGGATGATGATGGATGGATGGATGGATGATGGATGGTTGGATGGATGGATGGATGGATGGATGATGATGGATGGATGGATGGATGGATGGATGATGGATGGTTGGATGATGGATGGTTGGATGGATGGATGGATGGATGGATGATGATGGATGATGGATGGATGGATGATGGACGGATGGATGATGGATGGTTGGATGGATGGATGGATGGATGGATGATGATGGATGGATGGATGGATGGATGGATGGATGATGGATGGTTGGATGATGGATGGTTGGATGGATGGATGGATGGATGGATGATGATGGATGATGGACGGATGGATGATGGACGGATGGATGATGGATGATGGATGGTTGGATGGATGGATGGATGGATGATGATGGATGGATGGATGGATGATGATGGATGGATGGATGGATGATGGATGGTTGGATGGATGGATGGATGGATGGATGGATGGATGGTGGATGGATGGATGGATGGATGGATGATGGATGGTTGGATGATGGATGGTTGGATGGATGGATGGATGGATGGATGGATGATGATGGATGATGGATGGATGATGGATGATGGATGGTTGGATGGATGGATGGATGGATGATGATGGATGGATGATGGATGATGGATGGATGGATGGATGGATGGATGGATGGATGATGGATGGATGGATGGATGGATGGATGGATGGATGGATGGATGGATGATGGATGGTTGGATGATGGATGGATGGATGGTTGGATGGATGGATGGATGGATGGATGGATGATGGTTGGATGATGGATGGATGGATGATGGATGGATGGATGATGATGGATGGATGGATGGATGGATGGATGATGGTTGGATGATGGATGGATGGATGGATGATGGTTGGATGATGGATGGATGGATGGATGATGGTTGGATGATGGATGGTTGGATGGATGGATGGATGGATGGATGATGATGGATGGATGGATGGATGGATGGATGATGGATGGATGGATGATGGATGGATGGATGATGGATTGATGGATGATGGATGGATGGATGATGGATGCATGGATGATGGATGGATGGATGATGGATGGATGGATGGATGGATGATGGTTGGATGATGGATGGATGGATGGATGATGGTTGGATGATGGATGGATGGATGATGGATGGATGGATGGATGATGGATGGATGGATGATGGATGGATGGATGATGGATGGATGGATGGATGATGGATGGATGGATGGATGGATGGATGGATGGATGGATGATGGATGGATGATGGATGGATGGATGGATGGATGGATGATGGATGGATGGATGGATGGATGGATGGATGGATGGATGATGGTTGGATGATGGATGGATGGATGGATGATGGTTGGATGATGGATGGATGGATGATGGATGGATGGATGATGGATGGATGGATGATGGATGGATGGATGGATGATGGATGGATGATGGATGGATGGATGATGGATGGATGGATGATGGATGGATGGATGATGATGGATGGATGGATGGATGGATGATGACGGATGGATGGATGGATGGATGGATGGATGGATGGATGATGATGATGGATGGATGGATGGATGGATGGATGGATGGATGGATGGATGGATGGATGATGATGGATGGATGGATGGATGATGGTTGGATGATGGATGGTTGGATGGATGGATGGATGGATGATGATGGATGGATGGATGGATGGATGGATGGATGGATGATGGATGGATGGATGATGGATGGATGGATGATGATGGATGGATGGATGGATGGATGATGATGGATGGATGGATGGATGGATGGATGATGGATGGATGGATGATGATGGATGGATGGATGGATGGATGATGGATGGATGGATGATGGATGGATGGATGATGGATTGTCCTTCTCTGTCCCCTGCAGCTCGGCCTCCCCCTGTCCAGCCTGTGCCTGGTTCCATGTAACACCATCTTTGGATCCCAGCATCTAATGGTAGGAGAGTCCTGCTGGAGACGCTTCTGTCCCAGCTGCTTCAGAGGACATGGTGACAATGATGCTGTCTCTTCCAGGACGTCGCCCTGCTGGACAAACTGGTCAGAGAGGACATAGAAGCCGGGAAGCTTCCTCTGCTGGTGGTCGCTAACGCAGGTGAGGGACCTTCCTGCCTGAGGTCTCCCTCCATGTGGGAGCTTTTCTCAGCAGTTTCTGCAGCAGGTGATGCGCATCCTGATGTCTCCTGGGTGACGTAGTTGTCCTGGTTTTGCTCCACCCAGGAACCCCTGGAGCGGGTCACACGGACAAACTGGGCCGCCTGAAGGAGCTGTGTGAGCAGCACAGGATCTGGCTTCATGTGGAGGGGTCAGTCACAGAGAAGCTCATCTTTGTTTTATTAGGAACATTTATAGTGCATGGTTATTTCATTTATTAGTTTCCTAATTTAAAAAAAGCAGTATTCTTTAAATTTGTTTTATTAAATATTCAAGAAAAAGGTTTTCAATTTATTAGTTCCCTTCTAATATAGATCTGGATAAACAGATTAAAGTGAATAAATTTAGTTTAAAAATGTTTATTTCTGGCTCTTAACGCCAACATCTCCTCTTTATGAGGGACTCTAGAAATAGAGTATTAGAATTCACCGTCCTGCTGCATTTAATAAACCAAACCAGATGTTTCCTGCCTGATATGAACTGAACCTCCATGAAACCAGTTCAGTAATAATTATTCACACATTTCAGTTTTATTTGGATTAAAAAGTTTTATTAGGATGAAAATGTTTGATCAAACCTCAGGTTTGCTCCAATCATCCCGCTGAGGTTCTCTGCTCACCCCCCCACCCCCACCCACTGGTTCAATCATTTACTTCAAAAATATTAAGATACCGTAAAAAAATATCCATAAAGAATAAAAGAAGATTGGGAGGAATGTGAAGATATACAGAAAGCTGTGTGGCTCTAGTCCAGTTACCCCGACTAACCCTGAAGCAGAAGCCACGCCCCTAAAAATTCACAAACTCACTAATGAGAAACAACATATGCAGATTTACCAAAAAACTTCAATAAAATTACAAATGTTTTATATCCTTACATACAATAACCTTTGACATTCTGAAACATATTGTTACTCACTAATCATCCCTCTTCTGTCAATTAAAGTGAATTGAGGTCCTGATTCAACTCAATAGAACTGAAAAAAGAATGAATGATAGATGCATTATTTAATCAGTTTAATTCTGTTCCTGTTTCTTTAGGGTCAACCTTGCCACGCTGGCTCTGCCTCAGGTCACCTCTGCTGTCATGGTAACCATCATTTTCCGTCCTTTCTGATCTCTGATTAAAAGGTTTCCTGTTTTGAAGGGTCCTGATCCGATCATCCAGATCTCTGATGGAAACCCTCTGCTGCTGTTCAGAGCTTCTCCACCTCCTGGGTTAATGATGGATGGAGCAGAAGCTCTCATACCTCTCAGTAAATAGTATCTAATAAAACAGCTTAGAGTCAAAGTTGCACATATTTAGATGAATCGGCGTAAAACATTGAAAAACCTCTGAACAAAAGCTGAAGTTGATCCTCTAACTTCTATAAAAGCGTTTCTAAAGAGCAGAATTTATACCGGAGGAATAAACATCAATAGTTTTGAAGCCTGTGATCATTTTGGTTGAATGTCCCTAACAGCCGACTCTGACTAACTGCAGTTACTCTGTGTTTGTCTCTGAGGTCGTTTGGTCCCTTTAACCATCAGAAACCTGGATTGTGTTGCGGAGCTGCAGGATGGCTGCAGCTCAGAGTGATCTAAACAATCCACAGCTCTGCTCTCACTTCCTGCTTGGGATGATGAGTCCTGTTAGCTTTGCTATCTGCAGCCAGTCATTCATTAAACCAGCAGTTTCTAACCGGCGCTTCCCTCCAGGCTACGGCATCCCAGGAGGTCAGAAAAAACATGGAAGCTCAGAAAAGACAAAAATAAACACTGCAGGATTTAAATAAAGGAAGGGTTTTAATAAACCATCAGAACCAGAAAGTTCTGATGGTTACGGAATGTGGGTCTGTAATGGAATCGGCATCGATTGAAGCTTCTGATGGGGTTGTTTGTTGTCGGGGAAAACGGTTCTGATAGGACAGCTGAAGGATAGAGCTGTGATTGATTCCAAGCAGCGCTGCAGGGGGATTCTGATCTTCCTGGAATCCAGCCAGCATCTAGATGGTTCCTCCTGGGTTTCCATCACCTTAAAGCTGTTCCACAGTCCTTCATGGCAGAACTTCACTGGAACCACCAAGTTCTTACTTCTGTGCCCATGTATGGATCTGCTGCTGGAGACGGCTCCCATGGAGACAGAAAACATTTCCTCCTTTAGATGTATCATAGATCGGACTGGTAGCGCCGATTATCGGCTGTAATGGGTCGTTTCTCCACAGGCAGCCACCAGGAGCGACAGCATGACGCTGACGCCGGGCCGATGGCTCGGGCTGCCGGCGGTGACCGCTGTGACCCTGTACAGGCATGAAGACCCGGCACAGGTAGGCCACGCCTCCTCAGAGAAATCCTCAGCGCGTTGGTCGGTCCTCTCTAAGCTCTGCCCGGTGGTCTCAGTCTCTGGCAGCAGGTCTGACCTCCAGCCAGCCGGTGGAGAAGCTGCGGGCGCTGCCTCTCTGGCTTTCCCTGCAGCACCTCGGACACAACGGCATCGTCCAGAAGATCCGACAGGCGACAGATCTGGTGAGCAGGACCAGTTAGATACTGGGTCACTGTTACTGGGCCAGTTAGATGATGGGTCACTGTTACTGGGCCAGTTAGATGGTGGGTCAGTGTTACTGGGCCAGTTAGATAATGGCTCAGTGTTACTGGGCCAGTTAGATGGTGGGTCAGTGTTACTGGGCCAGTTAGATGGTGGGTCAGTGTTACTGGGCCAGTTAGATGGTGGGTCAGTGTTACTGGACCAGTTAGATGATGGGTCACTGTTACTGGGCCAGTTAGATGATGGGTCACTGTTACTGGGCCAGTTAGATGGTGGGTCAGTGTTACTGGACCAGTTAGATGATGGGTCACTGTTACTGGGCCAGTTAGATGATGGGTCACTGTTACTGGGCCAGTTAGATGGTGGGTCAGTGTTACTGGACCAGTTAGATGATGGGTCACTGTTACTGGGCCAGTTAGATGATGGGTCACTGTTACTGGGCCAGTTAGATGGTGGGTCAGTGTTACTGGACCAGTTAGATTATGAGTCACTGTTACTGGGCCAGTTAGATGATGGGTCACTGTTACTGGGCCAGTTAGATGGTGGGTCAGTGTTACTGGACCAGTTAGATGATGGGTCACTGTTACTGGACCAGTTAGATGGTGGGTCACTGTTACTGGGCCAGTTAGATGATGGGTCACTGTTACTGGGCCAGTTAGATGGTGGGTCACTGTTACTGGACCAGTTAGATGGTGGGTCACTGTTACTGGGCCAGTTAGATGGTGGGTCAGTGTTACTGGGCCAGTTAGATGGTGGGTCACTGTTACTGGGCCAGTTAGATGATGGGTCACTGTTACTGGACCAGTTAGATGGTGGGTCAGTGTTACTGGACCAGTTAGATGGTGGGTCACTGTTACTGGGCCAGTTAGATGGTGGGTCAGTGTTACTGGGCCAGTTAGATGGTGGGTCAGTGTTACTGGGCCAGTTAGATGGTGGGTCAGTGTTACTGGGCCAGTTAGATGATGGGTCACTGTTACTGGACCAGTTAGATGGTGGGTCAGTGTTACTGGACCAGTTAGATGGTGGGTCAGTGTTACTGGGCCAGTTAGATGGTGGGTCAGTGTTACTGGGCCAGTTAGATGGTGGGTCAGTGTTACTGGGCCAGTTAGATGGTGGGTCAGTGTTACTGGGCCAGTTAGATGGTGGGTCAGTGTTACTGGGCCAGTTAGATGATGGGTCACTGTTACTGGACCAGTTAGATGGTGGGTCACTGTTACTGGACCAGTTAGATGGTGGGTCACTGTTACTGGGCCAGTTAGATGATGGGTCACTGTTACTGGGCCAGTTAGATGGTGGGTCAGTGTTACTGGGCCAGTTAGATGGTGGGTCACTGTTACTGGGCCAGTTAGATGATGGGTCACTGTTACTGGACCAGTTAGATGGTGGGTCAGTGTTACTGGACCAGTTAGATGGTGGGTCAGTGTTACTGGACCAGTTAGATGGTGGGTCAGTGTTACTGGACCAGTTAGATGGTGGGTCAGTGTTACTGGGCCAGTTAGATGGTGGGTCAGTGTTACTGGGCCAGTTAGATGGTGGGTCAGTGTTACTGGGCCAGTTAGATGGTGGGTCAGTGTTACTGGGCCAGTTAGATGGTGGGTCAGTGTTACTGGGCCAGTTAGATGGTGGGTCAGTGTTACTGGGCCAGTTAGATGGTGGGTCAGTGTTACTGGGCCAGTTAGATGGTGGGTCAGTGTTACTGGGCCAGTTAGATGGTGGGTCAGTGTTACTGGGCCAGTTAGATGGTGGGTCAGTGTTACTGGGCCAGTTAGATGGTGGGTCAGTGTTACTGGGCCAGTTAGATGGTGGGTCAGTGTTACTGGGCCAGTTAGATGGTGGGTCACTGTTACTGGGCCAGTTAGATGGTGGGTCAGTGTTACTGGGCCAGTTAGATGGTGGGTCACTGTTACTGGCCAGTTAGATGGTGGGTCAGTGTTACTGGACCAGTTAGATGGTGGGTCAGTGTTACTGGGCCAGTTAGATGGTGGGTCAGTGTTACTGGACCAGTTAGATGGTGGGTCACTGTTACTGGACCAGTTAGATGGTGGGTCAGTGTTACGGGCCAGTTAATGGTGGGGCATGTTACTGGGCCAGTTTGATGGTGGGGGCCCCTGTTACGGGGCCAGTTAGATGGTGGGTCCCCTGTTTTCTGGGCAGTTAGATGATGGGGTTTATGTTACTGGGGGGAGTTAGATTTGGGGGGGTCACCTGTTAAATTGGCCAGTTTTTGAATTGGGGGTCACTGTTACTGGGCCCGTTAGATGGGGGTCAGTGGACGGGGGGAGTTTTGAAAGGGGGTCACTGTTTACTGGGGCCCGTTTGAGATGGGGGGCAAATTTTTCTGGACCATTTTAAAGGTGGGGTTTATGGTTTTCGGGCCAGTTAATGGGGGTCATTTTTACTGACCAGTTAGATGGTGGGTTCCCCAAACTGTTACTTGGGGCCCGTTAGATGGGGGGGTAATGTTACGGGCCCTTAGATGGTGGGGCAATGGGTTTCTGGGCCAGTTAGATGGGGGGTTTATGTTACTGGGGCCCTTAAAATGGTGGGTCCCCCTTTTTACTTTGGGGCCCGTTAGATGGTGGGGCATGTTACGGGGGCCCGTTAGATGGGGGGTCATTTTTTCTGGGCCAGTTAATTTGGGGGGTCCAAATGTTACTTGGGGCCCGTTTGATGGGGGGGTCATGTTTCTGGGCCAGTTTTGATTGGGGGGTCATTTTTACTGGAAATTGGGGGCCCGTTAATTGATTTGGGGTTTACTGGTTTTCTAAAAATTAAATTGGGGGGTCATGTTACTGGGCCCCGTTTAAAGGTGGGGGCCCCTGTTTTACTGGGCCAGTTAGATGGTGGGTCACTGTTACTGGGCCCGTTAAAATGGTGGGTCAGGGGGTTTTTTGGGCCCCGTTAGAATTTTTGGGGTCACTGGACTGGCCCCTTTTGGAGGATGGGTGGGTCATGTTTCTGGACCATTAGATGGGGGTCAGGGTTTCACGGCCCGTTAATGGGGGGTCACTGTTACTGGACCAGGTTTTTGATGGTTTGGGGCAAATTTACCCTTAGGGGCCAGGTTTAAAATGGTTTTTGGGGCATGTTAAATGGACCAGTTTGATTTGGTTGGGGCACTGTTACTGGCCAGTTTTGATGGGGGGTTCCCCTGTTACTGGGCCAGTTTTGGGTGGGTTGGGTCCCGTGTTACTGACCAAAAAAAAAAAAATTTTGATGGTGGGGCCCCGGGTTTCTGGCCAGTTAGATGGTGGGGCATGGTTTTCGGGGCCAGTTAGATGGGGGTCACTGTTTCTGGCCCTTTTGAATGGGGTCATGTTTTCTGGACCAGGGTTTGTGATGGGGGTTTACTGTTACTGGGCCATTTGATATGGGGCACGTTTCTGGACCAGTTTTGATGGTGGGGCCCCTGTTTTCCCGGGCCAGTTAGAATTGGTTGGGTCACTGGTTAAATGGGCCAGTTAGATGGTGGGTCCCTGTTACTGGGGCCCTTTTAAAAGATGGGGGGACTGTTACTGGGCCCCTTTTGATGGGGGGTCAGTGTTTAAATGGGGCGTAAATTTTGAAAATTTGGGTCATGTTACTGGACCCCGTTTGATGGTGGTCCCCTGTTTCTGGCCATTTAGATGGTGGGGCAGTGTTACTGGCCCCGTTAGATGATGGGTCACTGTTACTGGGGCCCTTAGTGATGGGGCCGTTACGGGCCAGTTAGATGGTGGGGCAGTGTTACTGGGCCAGTTAGAAATGGCCAGTGTTCCCGGGCCCTTTAATGATTGGGGCACTGTTTCTGGCCCCCGTTAGAGGTTTGGGGCAGTTTAAAATGGACCAGTTGAATGAGGGTCAACTGTTACTGGGGCCCCAAATTTTTTGGGTGAAGGGGCAGTGTTTACTGGGCCCGTTAGATGGGGGAAAAAGGGGTCACTGTTTTCTGGGCCAGTTAGATGATGGGTCAATGTTTTTCTGGGCCCCGTTTAGAAGGGGGTCAGTGTTACTGGGCCAGTTAAAAAGAAAGGGTCACTGGTTTTCGGGTCCAAAAGTATGGGTCACTGTTAAATGGGCCATTTGATGAGGGTCACTGTTTTCTGGGGCCCTTTTGATGATTGGGGTCACTGTTACGGGCCATTTGATGGTGGGGCAAAATGTTTTACTGGGCCTTTGATGATGGGTCACTGGTATCTGGGCCATTTTGATGATTTGGGGCACTGTTACTGGGCCATTTTTGATGGTGGGTCAGTTTTACTGGCCCCTTAGATGAGGGGCCAAATGTTTCTGGGCCCGTTAGATTATGGGGCACTGTTTCTGGGCCATTAATGGTGGTCACTGTTTTCGGGCCAGTTTTGATGGGGGGGTCCCGTTTTTCTGGACCATTAGATTTTGATCACGTACTTGGGGCCGTTAGATGATGGGTCACGTTTCGGGCCCGTTAGATTTGGGTCAGGGGGGGCTGGGCCAGTTTGATGATGGGGCACTGTTTACTGGGCCCCGTTAGATGATGGGGGCCCCCTGTTTCTTGGCCATTTTGATGGGGGTCAGGTTACTGGGACCATTAGATGGTGGGTCACTGTTACTTTGGGCCAGTTAGATGGTGGGGTTTACTTTTTACTGAGGACCAGTTTTGTGGAGGGGTTTACGTTACTGGGGCCCGTTAGATGATGGGTCACTTTTTTACTGGGCCATTTTTTAAATTTGGGTTTAGTGTTTACGGGCCCTTTAAAAGTGGGGGCACTGTTACCCGGGCCATTTTGATGATGGGTCCACTGGTTTCTGGGCCCATTAATGATGGGGCACTGTTAAAAGGGGCCGTTAGAAAGGGGGGGCCAAATGTTTCTGGGGCCCGTTAGATGATGGGTCACTGTTTACTTGGGGCCCGTTAAGGGTGGTGGGTCCAAGGGTTTCGGACCAGTTTGATGATGGGTCACTGTTACTGGGCCCTTAGATATGGGCACTTGGGTTTCCCGGGGCCAGTTTTGATTTTGGGGGGCAGTGTTACTGGACCAGTTAGAATGGGTCAATGTTTTCTGGGCCAAATTAGGGTGGGGGGTCCCCTTTTTAAATTTGGGCCATTTGATTTGGGGGGTCAGGGTTACTGGGGGATTAGGGTGGTGGGGCATGTTACTGGGCCAGTTTTGATGGTGGGTTTAGTTTTTACTGGGCCAGTTAGTGGTTGGGGGGTCATGGTTACTGGGGCCCGTTAGATGGTGGGGCACTGTTACTGGACCATTTTGATGGTGGGTTAAATGTTCACCGGCCATTTTAAAGGTGGGGGGCGTTTTTACTGGGCCATTTTAAAGGTGGGCACTGTTACTGGGGCCCCGTTTTGATGATGGGGCCCGTGGGTTTCTGGAAACCCGTTTAAAAAGGGGGTCCCTGTTACGGACCCTTATTGGTGGGGTTCCCCGTTACTGGAAACCTTTAAAATGGGGGGTCAGGGGTTACCCGGGGCCCTTTGAAAGGTGGGGCAGTGTTACTGGGCCCCGGTTTGATGAAAGGGTTTAGTGTTACGGGCCAGTTAGATGGGGGGTCATTTTTCCCGGGGCCCTTAGATGGTTGGGTTTACTTTTCTGGGCCATTAGAGGGTGGGGCACTTTACTGGGGGCCCTTAGATGGTGGGATTTTTAGGGTTAAATTGGGGCCAGGGTTAGAGGGGGGGGGTCAGTGTTACTGGACCATTAGAAAGAAGGGTTCCCCTGTTTTCTGGCCATTAGATGTGGTCACTGTTACTGGCCAGTTAGTTGGTGGGGAGGTTCCCAAAGGGGCCCGTTACTGGGGCCAGTTAGATGGTGGGGCACTGTTTTCTGGACCAATTTGATGGTTTGGGGGGAGTGTTACTGGGGGATTTTGAAAGGTTTGGGGCATGTTACTGGGGGATTAGATGGTGGTCAGTTTTACTGGGGCCCTTAGATGGTGGGTCATGGGACTGGGCCAGTTAGATGGTGGGTTTACTGTTTCCAAAAACTGGGACCAGTTAGAGGTGAAGGGTCACTGTTACTGACCAGTTTAGTTGGTTTGGGGCATGTTTCTACCTTTAAGGGGGGGCCCCCGGGGTTTGATGGTTGGGGCCCGTGTTACTGGGGCCCGTTAGATGATGGGTCAGTGTTACTGGGCCCCTTAGATGGTGGGGATTTTTTTGATTTTCTTTACTGGGCCAGTTTAAGGGGGGGTCACTGGGTTTCTGGGCCCCTTAAAATGGGGGTCATGTTACTGGCCAGTTAGATGTGGGGTCCCGTGTTACTGGTCCATTTAGTGGTGGCAGTTTTTTCTGGGCCAGTTAAGGTGGGTCACTGTTACTGGGCCCCTTTAAAAGGGGGTTCCCTTTACTGGGCCATTTTGATGGTGGGTCAGTTTTGGAACGGGGGGGGGGGGGGGGGCCAGTTAGATGTGGGTCCCTTTTTTACTGGGGATTAGATGGTGGGTCCCTGTTACTGGGCCAGTTAAATTGGGGCAAACCCTTTTGGGGGTTCCGAGGGCCAGTTTTGATGGTGGGTTTATGTTTTCTGGGACAGGTTTGGGATTAGTGGGGTCCCGTGTTTTCGGGCCGTTTTGATGGTTTGGGGGAATGTTACTGGGCCCCGTTAGATGGTGGGTCAGTTTTTACTGACCATTTTAAAGGTGGGTCAAATGTTTTCTGGACCATTTAGATGGGGGGGTTTTCCCGTTACTGGGCCATTTTGATGGTGGGGGCCCCTGGGTTTCGGACCAGTTAGATTTGGGGGGTCAGTTTACTGGGCCAGTTAGATGGTGGGGCATGTTACCCCTTAATTGGGTTTTCCCAAATTAGATGGGGGTCACTGTTACTGGGCTTTTAGGGGGAGAATGGAGTTTGGGGGCCCCTGTTACTGGACCATTTTAGAATTTGGGGCATGTTAATTTGGGCCATTAGATTGGGGGGTCATGTTACGGACCAGTTAAAATGATGGGGCAGTGTTTCTGGCCAGTTAGATGGGTTGGGGCATGTTTACTGGGCCCCTTTGTTTTTTTGGGTTTAGTGGTACTGGGCCATTAGAAAGGTGGGTCAACTTGGGTTAATTTTTTTACTGGACCAGTTAGATTTTTGGGTTTACTGTTTTCCCGGAACCAGGTTTTGAGGGTGGGTCATGTTTTCTGGCCGTAAGTTAAGGAATTGAGGGGGGCATGTTTCGACCAGTTAGATGGTGGGTCATGTTACTGGGCCTTTAGATGGTGGGGCCCGTGTTACCGGGACCAGTTATGATGGGGTCATGTTTTCCCGGGGCCCGTTAAGATGATGGTCATTTTTTACCGGGGGGGCCCGTTAAGGAATGGTGGGGCAGGGGGGGTTTACACAGGGCCAGTTAGATGGTGGGTCCCGTTTACTGGACCATTAGATCGGGGGTCAAAATGTTAAAAAGGGCCCTTGATGGGGGGTCAGTGGGTTTCTGGGCCAGTTTTGATGGGGGGTCATGTTAAGGACCAGTTTAGATGGGGTCAGGGGTTACTGGACCAGTTAGATGTGGGTTTCCAGGGTTTGATGGCCAGGTTTAGATGGGTGGGCCCCTGTTTCGGGCCAGTTTTGATGGGGTTGGGTCAAATTTTTACTGGACCAGTTAGATGATGGGTCAGTGTTACTGGACCAGTTAGATGGTGGGTCACTGTTACTGGACCAGTTAGATGGTGGGTCAGTGTTACTGGGCCAGTTAGATGATGGGTCACTGTTACTGGACCAGTTAGATGGTGGGTCACTGTTACTGGACCAGTTAGATGGTGGGTCAGTGTTACTGGGCCAGTTAGATGGTGGGTCAGTGTTACTGGACCAGTTAGATGGTGGGTCACTGTTACTGGACCAGTTAGATGATGGGTCAGTGTTACTGGACCAGTTAGATGATGGGTCAGTGTTACTGGGCCAGTTAGATGATGGGTCAGTGTTACTGGGCCAGTTAGATGGTGGGTCAGTGTTACTGGGCCAGTTAGATGGTGGGTCAGTGTTACTGGGCCAGTTAGATGGTGGGTCAGTGTTACTGGGCCAGTTAGATGGTGGGTCAGTGTTACTGGGCCAGTTAGATGGTGGGTCAGTGTTACTGGGCCAGTTAGATGATGGGTCAGTGTTACTGGACCAGTTAGATGGTGGTTTTGGCTTCATCGTGTTCTCAGATCTTCTCTGGTTCCTGGTTTTCTAATGACCTTCCGTTTCTCCTCTGCAGAGTCAGCATCTCCTGTTGAAGCTGAAAAGTGTGGCCGGCATCAGAATCTCAGTAGGTGTTCTCTAAATGTTCTGATGGTTTCTAGAACCTGTTGCAAGGCTGAAAGTCTGCAGACTAAACAGTTCTAGAATATCTGATTTTCATAGTAGACTTTCTAGCTTCTGTCACATTTGAACCTCAAACCTCGATGCCTTTAATGTGGCGTCAGTAATTCCTGCTATGAAGCCAATCTGGAAAACATGGATCTATATGGAAGCGGGCGTCACCCAATCAGAGCCCAGCTGTTCTGCTTCTGGCCTCAGAGCCTCTTTAGAGAACCACCAGAATGATGCAGACCCAGGAACCAGGTTCTGGTCCGGGTCAGTCCGGGTCATGGAGGGAGGATGAACCCCCTGCAGAGCCACCAGGACGATGCTGCAGGAGGAGAACAGGTGACTGTGGAGGAGCAGCAGGTCTGCAGCTCAGGTGGCGCAGCCCAGCTTCTCTCTGACGGTGGCAGCATCATGCTGCGGGATGCTTTCTTTATTAGTCTACGGATGGAGCTACAGGGTGAGGCTGGAGGAAGACCTGCTGGACGCTGCAGGAGAAACGTGTGATTCAGATATGGCCTAGTCAAAGTAAGGTGACCTCAGATCTGATTGGTTCAGCCTGTTTGACGTCTCCGCCTCTTAAAGGCTGCAGAGGTTTGAGGTTCAAACGTGAAGAAACATTGAGAAGCAGAACCTGTGGAGGATCCATGGGTCAGCAGAGCGATCCCAGCGTCCGATCACCGCTCAGCCGACGGATCAGAACCTCCTCATGTTGAAACCCGACCCGTCTGTGTTTGTAGGACGGGCCGGACGGTTCCGACGCAGAGATCACTCTAACTGAGGCTTTGAAAATGGTAAACTGTTGGACTTGTTTGTTTCTGGGCCGTATCTGGGGTTAGCTTGTTCACTAGCATCTGATGCAGCGGCTGACAGGAAGCTAGCGTGCAGTGAACAAACGGCCCCAGTTAACCCAGTTAACCCAGTGTGTTAGGGAGCGGGTCTGGGTGTGATGGACACCCTCCTGTGTGGGTGAGTGTGGGTCTCCTGGGTTCCAGGGAACGGTGTGGGACGTTCTGGGCTCTCTAACTCCAGCTGGAAAGAAGATTTAAACCAGCCGGCGACATTTAATCTATAATCCAGAATGAACATTTATCAACATTCAGAAGATCCTCTAAACTGCATATTTCATCAAAGGGTCAGACTGGTCTTATATTCCCATATTAACGCTCATCAAAGCCTTTAGCAGAATAAAGATGCTGCTTAATCTGGGAGCAGAATAAAACAGATCTGTGTGTGATTTCTATAATGAGCCGTAAACAAAGGCGCAGCAGTTCCATGTTTGTCCTTTAGCTTCCGTCCGTTCCTGCTATGAAACCGTCCCAGATTAACCAGCAGCCATCGCTTCTCTGGGTTCATCTGTCCATCCAGCGATGATGCAGCGATGGTGGAACTTCCTCATGTGTGTCCTTGTTGTTGTGCAGGTGGAGGAGGAGCCAAACTCGGCTGTGGTGCTGTTTAAGTTCTCCCCAGAGCTGGGTTCTGGTAAAGGACGCTTCATTTCAGACCATCACAGTTTAAATGTGTGCTGAAAGCTGATCACTGTGTTGCTCCTCCCCTCAGGATCCAGCGGAGGAGCAGCGGAGGGTCTGTGTGCCGGAGAGAAGGAGGTCCTGGATGCCTTCAACAGATGGGTCAGACAAAAACAAGACATTTAATGTCCAACAGCATGAAGGTGAAGCGTCTCCCTGACCCACTCTAAGCCTGTTGTTTGGATGATTGCAGCTGGGAGAGCAGCTGGCTCAGCTAGCTCCCTCTAGTGGCGTGGATGTGGTGGAGCTGGAAGATGAAGGGACCTGTGTTCGTTTCAGCCCCCTCCTCACCGCTGCAGGTAACATCAACATTACCCCCAGCAGCATGTGGCAGATATTTTAGATTGAAGCGTGGTCTGCGCTGTTATTCCACGCCACAACGCCAGAGGGCCAATCAGGAACTAGCTGTGGGTGTAGATACGGCGGTGAGGAAGTGGGGGAAAGTTTGAGCAACAGCGGAGGCACATGAGGGCCAAAAAGAGCGGGGATCCAGGTGGAAAAGGCTCCCAGCGTTCTCAGCTCGCTCTGCTAGCTGCTCCATCTTCAGTCGTTTTCCATAATGGCGGTCAGACAAACAAAAGAAGCGGCAAGCGGATGTAGATTTGACCAATCAGAGGCCTCCTGTCTGCGGCGCTGTCTGTGGTCACCTACAGGGAGAGGTGCAGCAGAGTGTCTGCGGAGGGGCGGGGCTTATCAGCAGACCACCTGGTTTCGAAGTATAAATCAGCCTTCAGCTTTTTTTTGTTCCTTCGCTTCCAGACAGTCTCCCCCTAATAAGGGGAGTGGTCATGTGACACAGTTTTCCTCAGGGTGGTCTGTGATTGGTGGTTCTAGTAGAGTCTCCTTTGGTTGGTCAGGCGCCTCAACAGCTGCCTGGTTTCTCTCACATGACGTCAAACGCAGCGTTGAATGTTGATGGTTGGACCAAGATGGCCGAACGTTGACCTGAAGTCACCCTCACCTGCTTGGCAGGCCGCCAGGTCAGGACTGTTATTAGAATGACATCAGTACTCTGCTTTGACTGGAAGGAGACTATTCCCACCGTGTCATCCCACCTGTGGAACACCTGCCCACAGGTGAAGGCCAGAAGCTCTCCGTTCCTCAGGCTGTGGATCAGATTCAGGATCCAGTCTGCGTTATAATCAGAGATGAGGATAAGTTATGGCAGCAGCTCATAGGGACGATTGTTGGACTAACAAAGACGCAGCACTGTGCTGCTGGAAGGAGAGAGGAGATGATTGATGGCTGCTGCTGCTTCCTGAGCATCACTCTGCTTCCAGCAGCAAAGTTAAAGGAGAAGTTCGGTTTTTAACACTTTTAGCCCATTTTCTGTAGTGTCCAGGATGAAATCGAATGATCGACACCAAAATTTTGACAATTGGTCCTGTCTCTGCTTTTTGGCTCATGCAGAATCCCCCCCTGGCTGCTTCAGAATGGCTTCCATAGTGCATGTCTGATAATGTCCTTAAAACAACCTTAAACGTTCTTTTTTTAAATATGCTACTCACCGGGTCGTCAGCGCTGTTCAATGACGTTCCAAAAAAAGTTTCGTAAAGAAAAAACGTTCCTGTAGTGTTTTATTTAGCATTTTGTAAATCCCATTGAGTTCTGTTGGAATAGTCAATATTCCGCTGCCACCGGAAACGGAAACGGGGCCTGTTTACACAGTTGTAGTCTTTTCGCTTCACTCTGTGTACTCCGACGTCGAGGTGCTAACGTCTCTGTTAAACACTTTAAAAAACTCTGAAAATGGAATACGAAAGGTGGATTCTTGATTCTCGACGTCGGAGTGCACAGAGTGAAGCGAAAAGACTACAACTAAGCGTAAACAGGCCCCATTTCCGTTTCCGGTGGCGGAGGGATATTGACTATTCCTACAGAACTCAATGGGATTTACAAAATGCTAAATAAAACACTACAGGAACGGTTTTTCTTTACGAAACTTTTTTTGGAACGTCATTGAACAGCGCTGACGACCCGGTGAGTAGCATATTTTAAAAAGAGAATGTTTAAGGTTGTTTTAAGGACATTATCGGACATGCTCTATGGAAGCCATTCTGAAGCAGCCAGGGGGGGATTCTGCATGAGCCAAAAAGCAGAGACAGGGCCAATCGTCAAAATTTTGGTGTCGATCATTCGATTTCATCCTGGACACTACAGAAAATGGGCTAAAAGTGTTAAAAACCGAACTTCTCCTTTAAACATTTACTAACTGGCCCTGAGGATTAAACCTCAGGATTAAACAACAGGATTAAACCTCAGGGTTAAACCGGATTATTAAAAAAATAGGATTAAACCTCAGGATTAAAAAAACTGGATTAACCTGATTATTAAAATTCAGGATTAGACCTGATGATTAAAAAAATAAGATTAAACCTGATTATAAAAAAAAAAACAGGCTTAAACGAGATTATAAAAAAAAAAAAAAAAAAAAAAACAGGATTTGACCTGAGGATTAAAATTCAGGATTAAATCTCAGGATTAAAAGAAACAGGATTGAATTTGAGTATTAAAAAACAGGATTAGACCTGATCAGTAAAAAAAAAAAAACAAGGTTAACCCAATGATTAAAAAAAACCTGATTAAACGAGATTATTAAAATGCAGGATTAATTGGCATGCAGGTGGTGCAGTGGTTAGCGTGCTCTAATCATGTATGGAGGCCTTAGTCCTCGACGCGGCCGACTCGGGTTCGATCCGATTCCCCCTCTCTGTAGCCTTTTCCTGTCAGCCTCCTCTATTGGGAGAAACTTCTAAACGCCTCGTTTCTATGTGGTGCTGATTGGATCTTTAACAGTCAGTGATGTCTGAGGGGCGGTGAAGCCATCCCAGATGCTGAAAGCTTCAACATCTTTCATGCTTTTTCACCAGTGCTTGGAACCAAACTGGAGGATGTGGACGAACTGGTGCAGAAGCTCCTGGAGCTGGTGCCTATGATGTCATCAACCATGACCCTGAGACATGACTTCAGGGAGGAGACCCACCGCCACGCACCCCTTCTCACATACATAGAGGAGCTCAGCTGGCCCGGTCTGGGGGCGGTCCGGTAAGGCTGACCCGTTTTCATCAACCCAGAGTTTACAGAACAAACCGGGGGGGCGGAGGTAGAGCCCCCGTTTGGACCAATCAGCTCATCATCTCAGGCTGATGGACAGACAGTCTGGTCTATATTGGACTATAAGCCCTGTGCTGAGCAGAGTATCGATGGAAATGCGGCCTAGTCAAAGTCCAGAGCTACGGCTCAGAGGTTTCCTCAGAGAGTGCAGCCAGTGGAGATGATGAGTTTCTGTCCCGCCCCCCTGTCCTTCATCATGTGTGGGTGGGTGTCTGTCCCTCTGGAAGCTGTAACCTCTGATCCTTCTGTTGCTGACGTCAGGTATGAATCCCAGATGGAAGGACTGGATGAGAGCAGGAGGAAGGCGGAGCTTAAGAAGCTGAACGACGCGCTGCTGAGCCAACTCCAGGAGCTGGACGCAGACATCTGCTTCTCCGCAGGTCGGTTCTCCTGAACGCTGTGCTCCTTACCATGCCCTCCGCCCCGCCCTATGCCCCGCCCTCTGCCCCCTGTCCCGCCCTCTGCCCCCTGTCCCGCCCTCTGTCCCACCCTCTGCCCCGCCCTGAACCTGTCTCTCTCTGCCTCTCTCCAATGCCAGGCCCAGAGTTTGTGACGGAGGAGAACTGCATCTTCGTAGGGATGGTCAGCGATGACGTGGACGTGTCGGAGCTGGTAGAGACCATCTGTACGCTGGGAAGGGACGTGGAGGAGAGTGGACGGGTAACGTCTTCCGTTGGACAGTCTGTGTTTTTATACATTAACAGACTGAGACGTTAATATGGCGGCTTGTCTGGAAATCTGTGAAAGGGAAAAGTTTTCAGCAGGAAGATTCTGGAAGAATTTCTAGACTTTATGAGCCTGTTCTGTTTCAGCCAATCAGCTCCCTTTGCTTTTACAGCTTTATCCGCCTTTCTATGGTTTCATTGTCTAATGGAGGACTGGCTGAATCCTGTCTGTAAAATGACGGCGTTCACACAGAACCTGGATCCGTTTCCAGGTCTGGACACGGCGTTCACACAGAACCTGGATCCGGTTCCAGGTCTGGACACGGCGTTCACACAGAACCTGGATCCGGTTCCAGGTCTGGACACGGCGTTCACACAGAACCTGGATCCGGTTCCAGGTCTGGACACGGCGTTCACACAGAACCTGGATCCGGTTCCAGGTCTGGACACGGCGTTCACACAGAACCTGGATCCGGTTCCAGGTCTGGACACGGCGTTCACACAGAACCTGGATCCGGTTCCAGGTCTGGACACGGCGTTCACACAGAACCTGGATCCGGTTCCAGGTCTGGACACGGCGTTCACACAGAACCTGGATCCGGTTCCAGGTCTGGACACGGCGTTCACACAGAACCTGGATCCGGTTCCAGGTCTGGACACGGCGTTCACACAGAACCTGGATCCGGTTCCAGGTCTGGACGCAGGTTTAAAATCCTGAACAGATTCTCCTAAAGTACTGGAACAGAAGCAGGAGCGGCTGCACTTTACCATGAGGTTCCCCTCATTTAGACGGTCTATAGATCTGTTATTATTAGATCTGCAAACACTTTATAACCCTCATGCAGTCAGCATATAAAGTAGATAAGACGTAAAGCATTCTCTAAATATTTAGTTCCTTCTCCTTCATTCCAGCATCATAAATCAATTAATGTTTAGAAATGTTTACAGCTAAAACATCTAGTAACTATTTATCAGCCTTCATTAGATCAGATGGAGGAGACGCGTCAGGGAGGAGGTTCTGATCCAACAGTCCCTCCAGCGGGAGGCGCTTCTCTGTTGGATCTCCTCTTCCCTGCAGTATGAGGCGCAGTCTGATGCGTCTCCTCTTCCCTCCAGCGGGAGGCGCTGTGGTTCCTCCCTGTCTCTACAGTCAGACCCTAAAGAGTTCTCCTTGTTTGATCTGCAGCTGATGGAGAACATGACGGAGCGGGTGAGGAAAGGCATCCTGGAGGCGGAGCTGCAGCTGCAGAAGGCCAATGAGGAGAAGCTCCTGGAGGAGGTGTGTGTCACGCAGCAGCTGCTGGTCTGGCTCCTGCCGCCTCCTAAGATCTTTGTCTGTGTTCCAGGGAATGCTGAGACAGCTCCCCCTGGTGGGCTCCGTGCTGAACTGGTTCTCCCCGCTGGAGAGCTCCATCAAAGGGAGGAGCTTTAACCTGGCAGCAGGTAGGCTACTGACCGCTGAACGTCTGCAGACTGTCTGGGATTGGAGGAAGGAGGTGGGACGAACCAGGGGGGAGGAGGAGGAGGGGGAGGAGGAGGAGGAGGAGGAGGAGGAGGAGGCAGAATGAAATAGTTATGATGAAAATAACAACCATCCAGTCAGAGATCATCAATGCTGCATGTTTTCATCTTCTGCTTTGACCCGTTGCAGACAGACGGGCGTGTTTCTGTTTCCATGGTTACAGCCGTGTGCTTTAACCCCTCTGCTCCTCAGGTTCTCTGGACTCCACCGACGTAACGTACTCCACCAAAGCCCAGGCCGGCAGGACGTCCCTGCAGGACACGCCCAGCCTCCCGTCGAAAAGAAACCCGGGTAGGAGGCTCTGTTCTTCCTCACTGCGCTGCTCAACGCATGTAATGCTGCGTTCAATGATGCTATGTTCAATGATGCTACGTTCAATGATGCTACGTTCAATGATGCTATGTTCAATGATGCTACGTTAAACAACGCTACGTTCAATGATGCTACATTCAATGATGCTACGTTCAATGATGCTACGTTCAATGATGCTATGTTCAATGATGCTACGTTAAACAACGCTACGTTCAATGATGCTACGTTCAATGATGCTACGTTCAATGATGCTACGTTCAACGATGCTACATTCAGTGATGCTACGTTCAGTATTGCTACGTTCAATGATGCTACGTTCAACGATGCTACGTTCAATGATGCAACGTTCAACGATGCTACGTTCAATGATGCTACATTCAACGATGCTACGTTTAACGATGCTACGTTCAATGATGCTACGTTCAACGATGCTACGTTCAATGATGCAACATTCAACATTGCTACATTCAATAATGCTGTGTTCAATGATGCTACGTTCAATGATGCTAGGTTCAATGATGCAACATTCAATGATGCTACGTTCAATGATGCTACATTAAACAATGCTACGTTCAATGATGCTACATTCAAGGATGCTACGTTCAACATTGCTACGTTCAATGATGCTACGGTCAATGTTGCTACGTTCAATGATGCTACATTAAACGAAGCTACGGTCAATGTTGCTACGTTCAATGATGTAACGTTCAATGTTGCTACATTCAATGGTGCAACGTTCAGTGATGCCACGTTCAATCATGCAACGTTTAACGATGCTACGTTTAACGATGCTACGTTTAACGATGCTACGTTTAACGATGCTACGTTTAACGACGATACGTTCAACTATGCTACGTTCAACGATGCAACGTTCAATGATGCAACGTTCAATGATGCAATGTTCAACGATGCTACGTTTAACAATGCTACGTTCAACAATGCTACGTTCAATGATGCAACGTTCAATATCGCTACCTTTAATGATGGAACGTTGAATGATGCAACGTTCAATATTGCTACGTTCAATATTGCTATGTTCAAAAATTCTACTTTCAATGTTGCTACGTTCAATGATGCAACGTTCAATAAAGATATGTTCATTGATGCTATGTTCAATATTGCTATGTTCTATATTGGTACATTCAATAATGCTACGTTCAATGATGCTACATTCAATATTCCTAAGTTCAACGTTGCTACGTCAACAGTGCTATGTTCAACGATGCTACGTTCAACAATGCTACGTTCAATGATGCTATGTACAATGATGTTACATTTAATATTCCTAAGTTCAACGTTGCTACGTGCGACGATGCTACATTCAATGATGCGACGTCTGACAATGCTATGTTCGACGATGTTACGTTCAACGATGCTACGTTCAACGATGCTACGTTCAATGATGCTATGTACAATTATGCTATGTTCAATGATGTTACATTTAATATTCCTAAATTCAACGTTGCTACGTGCGACAATGCTACATTCAACGATGCTATGTTCGACATTGCTATGTTCAGTATTGCTACGTTCAACGATGCTACGTTCAATGATGCTACACTCAATGATGTTACATTCATTCCTACGTTCAACGTTGCTACATGTGACAATGCTACATTCAACGATGCGACGTCTGACAATGCTACGTTCGATGATGCTACGTTTAACGAAGCTATGTTCAATTATGCTATGTTCAATGATTTTACTTTGAATGATGCTACTTTCAATATTGCTACGTTCAATAAAGCTATGTTCAATGATGCTATGCTCAATATTGCTACATTCAATATTGCTTCATTCATTGATGCTATGTTCAATATTGCTACGTTCAATAATGCTACGTTCAATAATGCTACGTTCAATTATGCTATGTTCAATGATGCTACGTTCAATAATGCTACATTCAACGATGCTACGTTCGACAATGCTATGTTCAGTGTTGCTACGTCCAATGTTGCTACGTTCAACGATGCTAGGTTCGACAATGCTATGTTCAGTGTTGCTACGTCCAATGTTGCTACGTTCAACGATGCGACGTTTGACAATGTTACGTCCAATTTTGCTACGTTCAATGATGCGATGTTTGACAGTGCTATGTTCAACGATGCTACGTTCAACGATGCTACGTTCAATGATGCCATGTACAATGATGTTACATTTAATATTCCTAAGTTCAACATTGCTATGTGCGACGATGCTACATTCAATGATGCGACGTCTGACAATGCTATGTTCGACGATGCTACGTTCAACGATGCTACGTTCAACGATGCTACGTTCAACGATGCTACGTTCAACGATGCTACGTTCAATGATGCTATGTTCAATGATGCTATGTTCAATGATGTTACATTTAATATTCCTAAATTCAACGTCGCTACGTGCGACGATGCTACATTCAATGATGCCACGTCTGACAATGCTACGTTCAACGATGCTAAGTTCAATATTGCTACTCTCAATTATGCTATGTTCAATGATTTTACTTTCAATGATGCTACATTCAATATTGCTACGTTGAATAATGCTACGTTCAATAATGCTACTTTCAACGATGCTACATTCAATATTGCTACGTTGAATAATGCTACGTTCAATATTTCTATGTCCAACGATGAGACACGGCAGTCCATCTTTCTGGGTTTGATCGCTGTAGCCAAAGGAGAACCAGAGAGCTGAAAGAGATTAAAAACCAAATTAATTCATTGAGTCAGAATAGTTCTTCTGTCTTTGCCCTCCAATAAAGCAGGTGATTCTCTTCAGGGATCTGAACATCCAGGAAAGGCTCCTGACTAACGCTCTATAGATCTATTTTCCTAGATGGAACAGTCTGATGAGGATCAGACGTTCACTCCTGTCTGCGCTCCTTCCTCCTGCAGGTCAGAGGTTGTTTCGGCGTCCAGGTGTCGGATCGGACTCCATGAGCGAGACCAGCTCCATCGGAGCAGCTGAGGAGGCCTCCAGGGGGGAGAGCAGCATCACCCCCCCCTCCACGTCTCACCCTGAGACACTGGATGTCTCCACAGGAGACGGGGCTCCGCCCACGCAGGAGGAGGGTCTGCAGCTGGATCTCAGTGGGAGATGAAGAACATCTCCACCTCCAGGCGCCCTCCATCCGTCCAGAACCAGCCGCCGGTCCATCGTGTCCAACGTGTCCAACATGTCCAACATGTCGCCGTCCTCCCCTCCTCTGCCTCCACTCCTCCCTCCTGCCGCCGTGGCACTCAGGAGCAACAGGAGCTGTGAAGGCAGAGGAAGGAGGCCGTCCTCCCATCCTGGGATTACTCCCATTTATTTCTGTCCAGAGGTCAGAGGTCAGTCTGGGGCCTCCAGTAGCTCCGCCTCCTCTGTGTCCAACCCAGACATTTTATTGATCCCACAATGATTGGATGAGAAGCTCTGGAGGCGGGGCTTCTTCACTGTGATGGAGAAGAAAAAAATTATATTTAGAAGAAAAGATGATTTAAGGAGTTATTGTTGACAAACGGATGAATGTAGATCAGAGCCTCATCATGCGTTACTGTTGCCCCGCCCTCCCATGCCGCTTTCACCCCGTTCAGAAACGTTTTCTTCTTCTGCAGACCGTTTTCTCCTATTTATCAACTCACTGCACAAAAAACCAATCTATGAAGTTTGAATGAGAAAAATGATCTATGATGATCAGAACCACTGATGTCAGAAACTGAAGTTAAACGTAACCTTTGATCTAATCTACTGTCTAATCTAATCTAATCCAGTTTAAAACGGCTGAATTCAAATGAAGTTTTCTTTTTGCTCTGGTCATTAGGAATCAGTTTTGTCCGTCCGGCGGATCCTTCGGTGTTTCTTCTCTGCTGATATTTTTATTTAAACTACTTTGAGTCGATCTGAGTGGATTCTGTCACCCCCTACAGGCGGCTTTATTGGCCGTTTGCACTTTAATGAGGTTTTGATGAACGGATCGGTTTCCCAGGAACCAAAGCTTTGTGTCTGGGATGAATGCGACGCCAAGTGGACTGCTAGCCGCAGCGTTAGCCGCAGCGCTGGCCGCAGCTTTAGCCGCAGCGTTAGCCGCAGCGTTAGCCGCAGCTTTAGCCGCAGCTTTAGCTGCAGCGTTAGCCGCAGCTTTAGCCGGAGCATTAGCCGCAGCTTTAGCCACAGCTTTAGCCGCAGCTTTAGCCGTAGCGTTAGCCGCAGCTTTAGCCGCAGCGTTAGCCGCAGCTTTAGCCGCAGCTTTAGCCGCAGCGTTAGCCGCAGCGTTAGCCGCAGCTTTAGCCGCAGCTTTAGCTGCAGCGTTAGCCGCAGCTTTAGCCGGAGCATTAGCCGCAGCTTTAGCCACAGCTTTAGCCGCAGCTTTAGCCGTAGCGTTAGCCGCAGCTTTAGCCGCAGCTTTAGCCGCAGCTTTAGCCGCAGCGTTAGCCGCAGCGTTAGCCGCAGCTTTAGCTGCAGCGTTAGCCGCAGCTTTAGCCGGAGCATTAGCCGCAGCGTAAGCCGCAGCTTTAGCTGCAGCGTTAGCCAAAGCGTTAGCCGCAGCTTTAGCCGCAGCGTTAGCTGCAGCTTTAGCCGCAGCTTTAGCCGGAGCATTAGCCGCAGCGTTAGCTGCAGCGTTAGCCGAAGCACAGCCCACCTGCAGGGTCAGGTCTCCTGCCTCACAGCCAGAATAACTCTGACCTGGTCTGGTTGGATAGAAAAGCTCTGAGATTCTTAGTTGGATCCATATGTAGACTTGGACTAGGCCGCTAAGGCCAGCTGTCCTATCTCTGTCTGGAAGAAGCTGGACCTCCACCCAGGTCTCCATGGATGGATCAGAGCTCTGTTACATTGCTCCAGAACCAAACCCTGCTTTAAACTGGACCTGACCCGTCTGCCGAGTTCCCGGGTCTTCATGAGGGAACTTGTTCTCTAAAGAACCAGTGAGACCAGAACAGCTGCAGGTGTTCTGGTTCCAGGGATCGATTATTTCCTGCTGCTGGGAGTCTGTGAGGTGGGGATAGATGAGCAGTCATTATCTTACCTGCATCATTCTGGGAGCTTCAGCGATCAGATGCAGCCTGATGAAATCTAACAAACGTAGATCTATGGGCGGTGATCTGAAGGTTCTAAAAGGGTTTTCTTTGCACTTCTAGTTGTTTTATATCTGTGATTGTTTTGGGTTAATCCTGTTTTTATTGCAACCGTCCTGGAAGCTGCCACCAGGATCAGTGTCCACCAGCTGGATGTCCGCTCAGGGTTCAGCTCCAAACGGGCCTGAGAGACGTTCACCTTTATGAAAAAGGTTCTATGAAGCTTTTATCTACACCTGAGCAGACCATCAGTCTGAGCGTCCCAGGAACGTACTGACGATCCGGTTGAACGGATCAGAACCGGACAGATGCTAACTGACAGCGAGGCTCTTCTCCACTGAACCGCGGCTCAAAAAGTCGGGTTTCCTTCGTAAACTTGATAAGAGAGGAAAAAGGAAGTAGGTGGAGCTTCCACCGCAGTCTTCATTCTTTTACTACTGGACCCTTTTCTTCTTCTATGGTGTAAATGAAGCAGAGTTTCTGGAGTCTTTCTGTTGTGGTGTTCTAATCAAAACATGAATAAACTTTTTAAGGGAAAAGAGGCTGTTTTCTCTTTATTGGTTGTAATGTTGCTCAGTCCACAGGAAGCCGAGGGGAAAAGAGAGTGCACCCTCTGTTGTTCTAGAGCTAGAATCCTTACGTCTAACCCGCCTCCTGACCAAACGTTAACGTTAGAGACTGAACTAACAGATTCTGCAGAGTGGGAGAATAGAGATAGAATGAAGCAGAATGATGAAAAAGGGGTCCCTATGTCCTCCAGCAGTCTAAGCCTATAGCAGCTGAACTATAGAGATAGATCAGGATAACCTGAGCCACTCTAACTAGAAGCTTTATCAAAAAGGAAAGTTTTAAGCCTAGCCTTAAAAGTAGACAGGGTGTCTGCCTCACGGACTAAAACTGGTAGTTGGTTCCACAGGAGAGGAGCCTGAGAACTAAAAGATCTGCCTCCCATTCTACTTTTAGAAATTCTAGGAACCACTAGTAAACCTGCAGATTGAGAGCGAAGTGCTCTGTTAGGAACATAAGGAACAATCAGATCTCTGATATCAGATGGAGCTTGGCCATTTAAGGCTTTATATGTGAGAAGGAGGATTTTAAATTCTATTCTGGATTTAACAGGAAGCCAATGAAGAGAAGCCAGGATAGGAGAGATATGATCTCTCTTTTTCATTTTCATTAGAACTCTGGCTGCAGCATTTTGGATCAGCTGAAGGCTTTTAACTACAGTTTGTGGACTTCCTGATAGTAAAGAATTACAATAGTCCAGCCTTGAAGTAACAAATGCATGGACTAGTTTCTCAGCATCACCCCTGGACAGGAGATTTCTCATTTTTGCAATATTCCTCAGATGAACGAAGGAAATTCTAGAAACCTCTTTGATATGGGATTTAAATGACAGGTCCTGATCAAAAATAACACCAAGATTTTTTACTTTATTATCTGAAATCAGTTTAATCCCATCCAAATGAAGTGACTGGCTAATCAGCTTCTTTTTCAGAGACTCTGGTCCAAAGACTATAACTTCTGTTTTGTCTGCATTCAGAAGCAGAAAGTTAAGAGTCATCCAGGTTTTTATGTCTTCAGACATGCCTGTAATCTATGTAATGGGTTAGCTTCATCTGGATTATAGACAGATATAGCTGGGTATCATCAGCATAACAGTGGAAATTAATCCCATGCTGTCTAATAATTCTACCAATTGGGAGCATGTATAAAGTAAAGAGAATTGGTCCTAGCACTGATCCCTGTGGTACTCCACAGGTAACCTTTGAGCGTGTTGAAGATCTATCATTAACATGAACAAACTGAATTCGATCAGATAGATAAGATTTAAACCAGTCTAGTGCTGTTCCTTTAATTCCAACAAAATATTCAAGTCTTTCTAAAAGAATATTATGGTCAACTGTATCAAATGCAGCACTGAGATCCAACAGGACGAGCACAGATACAAGTCCATTATCTGAGGCCATGAGAATATCATTAGTGACTTTCACCAGAGCTGTTTCAGTGCTATGATGAGCTCTAAAGCCAGACTGAAACTCTTCAAAAAGTTCATTATGGTGGAAGTGATCGCACACTTGTTTGGCAACTACTTTCTCAAGAATTTTGGATAAGAAAGGAAGATTGGATATAGGTCTATAATTGACCAAGTCATCTGGGTCAAGAGACGGTTTCTTAAGCAGAGGTTTAATTACAGCAACCTTAAAAGCTTTAGGTACATATCCCTGTAACAGAGATAGATTAATCACATCTAAAATGGAGGAGGAGATCAAAGGGAATACCTCCTTAAATAACCTGGTTGGAACTGGATCTAACATCCAAGTTGAAGGCTTAGATGAAGACAATAGTTTTGCTAACTCTGTAAGTTCAACTGGATCAAAGCAGTCTAAACCGGTTCTGATTCCATTCCATTTGAATTAGTTTACTTTTCTTTTTAGTGATTTTGCAAACTAAAATAAAACATGTTTTTCATTAAGGATCCTGATCTGTTTCATCTTTCACAACTTTTTTTCACATCAAAACATCACATTTTACACAATCAAATGTTTTCATGCAGTTTAAATAACTATGACTCTGTTAACTAATATGTTTAATGGAATTTATAAACTAAAATAATATAAGCATTTCATGATTATTATCAATAGACATAACATTAATAAATGATACTAGAATATGAAAAAAATCTGACTTTGATCTTTTCTATGCTTCTTGCTTTACTTTCTACGTCTTAAGACGGGATCTTGTTCACGAATGAGGGAAGAAGGAAGCGGGAGATTGACAGGCGGATAGGTGCAGCGTCTGCTGTGAAGCGGGCGCTGCACCGGTCCGTCGTGGTGAAGAGAGAGCTGAGCCAAAAAGCAAAGCTCTCCATTTACCGGTCAATCTACGTTCCTACCCTCATCTATGGTCATGAGCTCTGGGTCATGACCGAAAGAACGAGATCCCGGATGCAAGTGGCTGAAATGAGTTTTCTCCGTAGTGTGTCTTAGAGATGGGTGAGGAGCTCAGTCATCCGGGAGGGACTCGGAGTAGAGCCGCTGCTCCTCCACATCGAGAGGAGCCAGTTGAGGTGGCTCGGACATCTGGTTAGCAGTGATGGGACTAACAGCGTTGAAAGTAACGGTGTTACTAACACCGTTACCTTGTTTTAGTAACGAGTAATGTAACTAATTACTTTGACTGTAACTATAACGCAGTTACCATTGCAGACACCCCGTTACTGCGCGTTACTCAGGTCGCACAATGAACCTTTTTTCATGATAGGACTCGTGCGCGCCTTGTCATGAGAGAGGGGAGGATGAGATTAGCTGATGTATAGTGAGATTCCGTCTGTCAGTTGGGTAGGTGGGTGTTTCTGCTGGTGGGTGTTAACGTACAGCACACACAGAGAGATGGAGAGTGAGGAGGACTCCTGCAGCAAAACAGCGTTTTCCTGATGGAAATACCGGTGTTACGTAGAGCTGCGTTTCCCCATCAGATACGGTTTCCTCTGCATCTCCGCACAGCGCAGGCGGCACGATTCACCGCGCAAGCGACAGGAAACGCGCATGCTCGCTAAAGGCGATGGGTGGATGGATGGATGGATGGATGGATGATGGATACTTTTCAACCTACTGTATTTTTTATATTAAACATTATTTGATGGCCTTTGTGGCAGGGATGGAGATCCATATTTTATGTCACACACAAGAGTATAGATCTAGATAGATAGATAGATAGATAGATAGATGTTGCAGTATCTATAACAACCCAAACACACAGGATTTCAGAATTAGACATCCCCAGTTATTAATGTCACCAGATCTGAACGCCCTGTTAATAAACTTCACATCGTGTTCCCCCATGTTAATCAGGGGAACGCCATCTGACGGGGTTTATAGGCGCGTCAGATGGCGTTCCCCCCTGATGTCATTTAGGTTGAGTTGCAATAAATGCTAAACTCTCTGCAGGTTCTTGTCTTTGTCGTCCGCTCTATTCAGCTGGCTTTGGAAACACACGGTGAGAAGGTGGGGGCTGGGTGGGGAGGGTTAGGGGGGCGAGAAACGCAAAAGTAACGCAATAGTTACTTTACTAGTAACTAGTTACTTTTATTGTGGAGTAACTCAGTTACTGGGGGGTGCGGGGGGGTTAAAATATCTTATTTAATCAGACAGTAATTTGGGTGTTATATACTGTTTATGACACCCAGTCCTACTAACTGTGTTAGAACAATAGATGAAAGAGTGATTCCAGCACTAATCATGGTCAAACGGTTATTTCTGCACATTAATGGAATAAATTCACCACAACTTCTGTTCACAATATAAGATTTTATTAACAAAAACCATTCAGTTTCAACTCAAACATATTTCAGTTTAACACTCTTAACTAAGACTAGTAAAACTAAACTAAACTAAACTACTATGTACAAAGAGAAAGGGAAACATGGTTGAAAAACATATTACAGTTTAAGATGGATTCTGTGTTTGAAACCAAAGTTTATCTGGAAGAATTTGGGATCTGATCAAATTAGCTTTTCACTAATTTAGAGAAATTTAAATGTTTTCAGACCAATTCACAATGATAATCCATGAGGTGAATAAAACATTATTTGGCCAAATAATGTTTTATTAAATGATTTGCTTAATCAGGAACCAACAACCTCTAGTTAAATGATTCTTTACCCTCCTTGAAATAGCTAGCAGAGAATAGACATCAGGATTCCACTAAATGACTCTTGGTCAGACTTGGTAATGGAAATGTAACGAGCATCTGAGGAACACATGAACACTAATGTTACATCAGTGTTTAAATCCTTAGTGAATAAAGCTGGTCTAAGCTTTAGCAACAGATCAACACATATTCCTGTAGCATAGCGTAGCATGCAGTCCATCCTGTTAGCTTTGTCTTTACTCATCAGTAAACACATGAAATGATCAACATCATCTAAAGACATATTGGTTGTTTTGTCTCTAATGGTGTCAGACCTGCAAACTTCTGTCCGTGTCCATTTGGAGAGCTTAAGTTTTCACCAAGCTGCAGCTTAGCAGGCAGCCTCACAGCAAATGGGTTTTTCTTTTCCATGCGGCTCACACCAAAGGATCTTCAGGAGACGTTCTCCTCCAGTCTGGCTCTATAAGTTCTGAAACTCAAGAGAAATGTGTTGTAGATAAAACAGAGGCCCAAACATTACATAAAAAAAAAAACATAATTCAATTTAGATGGTGGGAATAACCTCATGCCTCAGAATTATATTAAGGAATTGGAAATCAACCAAATCTCCTAGAGTCCAAGAGTGGAAAACCTGAATGAGTGAGGCCACCTCCTCTGAGGTGATGATGGGAAGGATGAGCAGTAAAGGTCCTGTGGAACTGGGACTTTTTTCATGGAACATCTGACTTCTAACTAGAGCTAAGAGCTTGAAGCCTGACTTAAGGAATACTGTTATCCTGTCCTGTTTTATTCATCTACTGTAGTAATGTTAAATAGGAGAAGTTGTTGATATTCCTTCTGTTTTTATTTTATATACCCATATATTGTATTTTATTTTATTGGACAGGAACTACCTAAGCCTCTGAAAATGTTTCCCTGTAATACTGGCCCATCTATCTTTGTTTTCTATATTTAGTTCCACTGTAAGATGTTACCAAGTATGTTTAAATAGAAATTTGAATTACAAAAATAAATAGAGAGAAATGTGTTGCAAAAGGTCTGTTTTGCAGCAGCTCGGCTCTGAACCTCATCCATCATGACTTATCCTCGATCCTTCTGGAGATCTGAGCCTTTGGCCTGGATCTCCATGGCGGATGCCTCTTCCGATGTGGACCCCCAGGCAGATCCTCTGTGCTGTGCTTTGACTGTTCCCAGCTCTGTGGGGGGGACGACAAGTCCCGCCTCCTGGGTCCTGTGGAGCCAATGGGCTGAAAGGGGGTTTTAGAGCAGAGAGGTCTCACAGCTGCTCCATGAGCCAAAACTGCATCCTGTTCTCAGGTTATCATGTTCAGCTGAAACATGGAAACTGGTTCCTGATGTCCCAAACCACCATCAGCCCCATGGCTCAACATTTCTCTATCTGCATAATGGGTCTGTTTTAGACTGAGACAGATTTATTTCTCATTTTGTTTACACAAGTGGAAAACAAAAATACATTTCATTTAGAACAGCTCTCTGGATAATTTATTTTTTTTTTTAAAGTGCAGCCTTTATAAAATATATATGTTGTCTTCTCAAGTCAGAGGGCCCCCTGCCTGTCTAAGCATAGGGCCCCAAATTTCCTAAATCCACCCTTGGATTTCAGTCATTTGAAGCTATAGATCTTTCCCTGAGCAGACCATCCTAGTGTCATCAGAAAATAAAGTAAACTTAAATTTGCTGGTATATGAAAAATATCGATTATATAAAATAAAAACAGTCCCAGCATTGATCCTTGATCCTATTTGCAAATAGGATTTGGTCCAGGATCAAGTTTTCATATCACTATTTGATGATCGTTTGAATGGAGTACTTTCCTCTGATCTATAAACATTCCTACAGCCGTTATTTTATCAGTTATTTCATTTACATCCATTAAAGCTGAGGCAGTTCATCGTTTGTTTGGAAACCGTACTGATTTTCATGAAGTAATTTATGCTTTTCGAGTGAGGTTGGAGCTACCAAGTATAAATGTGCTTATTTTCTTATTATTACTTCATAAATGGTCAATGTGAGCTTTAAAGGAAAAGTCCGGTCAGCAAGGAAGAATCAATGGATCACTATTTATACCTAAAACTTTAGCGTTAATCAGTAAAACATAAAAATAATAATTGTTGTGGCAATCAATGAGTCTGGGAGCGGCCATTTTAGCCCAAATATAGTAGCCCCTCCCTCCTGCCATCTTCCAGCAGTGACGTCACGGTGCGGTAAGCCTAGCGCCATTCTCCCCGCTTTCCAAGCTAAATCAATGGGAACTACTAGACACATCTGCAATCAACAACAATTATTGAAGATTTCCAGAGGACTTCACCATTGAAATTCACCAGAGCTATAGTGAAACTGACAATGCCCACGTGCATGGCAGCTGGATGCTGGAATACATCGGGTAAAAGTGGAAAAAAAGAGTTATTCCACCTTTCTGATTCCTGATCCTCCACGGACGGGTTGGTCGTTGGATCGCCAACTTGAAGAGGGAGGATTTGCCATCGAACTTCTGGCCAGAGAAAAAACCCGTAATATGTAGCCAACATTTGGAAGAAGAATGTTTTCAAGATGACTTGGATAATAGCGCGTTGTGACAAACACCAGATACAGCACTGGGACTTGATCAACAGCCGATACCGCACCGTGACAATGTCACTAACCAGTAGGTGGCAGTAGTGTTCTTCGACAAATATGGATGCCTCCAGTAAAGCACATTCACATGGAAATTACTCTGAATTAAAAACACTGATCATTTATTGAACAGGATGGAATCATTTCAGATTTAAAGGACTTTCAGAAGTTTGATTTCTGAATATAAACGGACTTTCCCTTTAAATATCGAGCATATTTTAATTAAAAATCTTTAAAAATGAAGCGCAGGCAGAGTAAATCAGCCTTAGACCGAGAGGGGGCGACGGTAGGTGAATCTGCTACGTCATGAGGTCATAATCTACCGACGTGAGCCGTTTGCTGTTGTTCTTTGGGAAATGTAGTTCATTACTTTGAAATGTCCTCCATTTTGAAGAGACTCTGGTTTCTTAAAACACCACAAGTCCCAGCATGCTTCGCGCCAAGCAGGTCGACCGAAGGCACAGAGTAGCTCACGCGGACAGTCTCTGGGAGTGCTGAGTCGATCCTGTCCGGAGCGGCAGAGCGGAGCGGCGGGTCTTCTTCATATGAACCGGAGCAGCAGCGGAGCCAGGGAGGACCGAGCAGCCGAGCGGGTTAGACTCTGAGCAGGACCGAGAACCGCGCAGCTCCGACCGCACTCAGTCACAAGCCAAGAGCCACGATGGACCCCAGAGACACGGCCCCTGATTCCTGGGAACAGGAGGACGAGGCCGCGGCGGACGGGCGGCTGGAGGCGGCCTTCACCGCCCTCAACGTCAACGCCAAGCCGTTTGTTCCCAACGTGAACGCGGCAGAGTTTGTTCCGCCTGCTGCGGTGGGAGCGGAGACGCTGGAACCCGCTGGTGAGTCACGTTGGCTGTTAGCAGCTAACGGCTAGCTGTAGCTTAGCGGCTGTTCGCACGCGCGTCGGTTGGAGCCTGATTACAAACAGGCTGCGTGGCTTCCGGTCACGTTTCCCGGATCTTTGCGGTCCAGTCGGTGTGGCGGAGCCGCCGGTCCGGCTCCCCGGGAAGCTGAGACACCGGTAACCGGCGGGGAGCTGCTAGCATGCGGGCTAACCTGTTCACCGGTCAGAGGCCGTGAGGTGGAACCCACCGGTGATCGGATCCACTCGATCAGCCCACGGCTGCTCTGATAGGGGCGGACAGCGGCGTGTTGGCGTGACGTGGGTTTTTCTGACGCATTGTTGGTTTAGAGTGGAAAGAACCACGAGAGGAGCAGGAGGAGACCAACCCGGAGGTTCAACAGACAAACCTCGGCCAGCTCCTCAGGAGGAGTAGCTGCTCCTCTAGTGGCTCCTCAAGAGGAGCTGCTCCTCCTCCTCTGGTGGCTCCTCAGGAGCAGCTCCTCCTCCTCTGGTGACTCCTCAGGAGCAGGAAGTGTGGAGGTATCTCCTAGCATCCATCCTTTCATTCAGCCTGGTTCTGCTAGAAGCAAAGAGGAGGCTGTAGGAGTTGTCATGCTCTGGGCTCATCTTAAACACCAGCAGATTAAATAAAAACAATAAAACTAAAGTATCTCTGCAGACAAATCAGCTGCTATTATTATTATTCTGTGAGGTTTGAATGTTTAGTTTCTATAATTCATCACTCAGCAGCGAAGCGTCATCATAGAGGCTGAAAGGTCAGAGGTCAGATGTAATCGGCCGCCATTGTTCCTCTGCTGGTGCATCTATTCACAATAGCAACATGTTCTCAGATGCTCATCTTCACTTGGTGACGAACGTTGAAGCTGTAATTAGGATGGTTTCATGCCTCGCTTCCTTTCTGATGGAGTCACAGCTGTAGCCGACCTCTGACCCCAGCATCATCTGATGCTCCATCCTCTGCTTTAAAGAGCAGCAGTTACCATGGTAACCTCTGTGTACTTTGATTAACCCCTGGAATAAACAAAGTTCACTTTTAGTTTGGAAGTTGTGAGTATTTTATGATAATAATAATTAACTTAATTGATCTCAGTTTTGAGAAACGTAACCCCTCCCCTTGGGGAGCAGCGGGCTGCCATTGTGCGGCGCCCGGGGAGCAGTGTGGGGTTAAGGGTCATGCTCAGGGACCCAGAGTGTCAGGCTGTGGGAGTGGGGCTTAAACCTCAGGATTCTAACCACTAGGCCACCAAAATCCGTTTTAGTCCAGAGTCCCGTTGATAAGTCAGTTTTATTAGACTTTTATTTTTATAGGCAAGTCATTAAGAACAAGTTGATATTTACAAAGGCGGCCTGACGAGAGGAGGAAACACTCAGGAAAGGGAAGTAGGGCTGTTTAAAAACAATAACAGTCCAATGATAGATGGTTAGAAGCAGATTGATGTGAGGAGCTACAGGAGAGCAGCTGATGGAGGAGCCGTTATCGCTGATATGGACGACCGTCACTGAAAACCTTTCCTCCTCGTCCTCCAGTAGAGCCAGAGCATCCATCCCTCAGCACTACACCCAGCCGTCACAGCCGTGTTTACATGTGTGGATGCTTTGGTTTGATCAGTGGAACAATCATCAGAGACATGATGGAGAAAACATTGATTTAAACAGATGCTGTTTGGAACTTTATGGAAAAATGTCCTTTTTATTTGAACCCTTTTCAACTAAATCCTGGTTTGATGATCAGACTGACGCCTCAGTTGGTCTTTCCACACGGAGCGTGTTTTCCTGAATGAACTCTGGCTCAGAAGTTTAGATGAAATCAAACGCATCAGTGTTGAACAGAGGCCACCTAGCAAACCATCAAAGCTTTATTTTAAAGATGGATTCTGTGGAAACTCAGAGGAGACTGGCATGAAGCTCAGACACTGATGGCCGCTCCTCTACGGTGAAAAAAACTAAAACCTCATTTAGTACGGGTCAGTCTGCTGGTGGTTGGGTCAGTCTGCGGGTGGACTGTCTTTCAGGCCAGTCTTGGGATAGACCGACTATCCGGCCGGTCTGCGGGTGGACTGACGGTATGGTTGGTCTGCTGGTGGACCATCTATCGGGCCGGTCTCTGGGTAGACTGTCTTTCAGGCCGGTCTGGGGGTAGACCAATCGTTGGGTTGGTCTGCGGGTAAAGTGTCTGTCGATGGTCCGGCCAGCCGGCTGGTCTGGGGGTGGACTGTCTTTCGGGCCAGTCTGGGGATAGACCGACCGTCTGGTTGGTCTGCCGGCGGACCGTTTGTCAGGCCGGTCTGTGGGTAGACTGTCCGTCGGGCTGATTTGCTGTTGTCTTGCTAGGTGTCATGAGCAGTTGGGTGGTGAAGCTCGTGGATCCATGGAGGCTGAGATGGCGTCATGCTTCCTCTGCTCTCTCACTGATTGGACGCTTTAAATGGACCTCAGTCTCTCTTATCGTCAGTCTGGTCTCAGTAATAGTCAGACTGATGTGGGTCAGTCCGTCTATTTTTATCAGCGGTAAACAGCTGATGGGTCTCGGCGCCGTACCTGCTGACCATCAGGTTGGAGGTCTGGAACTGGTCCCAGCAGCTCTCACCCTGACTGCTGATTGGAGCAGGTCACCTTCAGGAGAAGTTGGTCTTTATTCCAATAATAAATAAATAGATCCTAACAGTTCAGGTGGGAACGTTCTGATGAGGCAGAGAAAAACATTGACCTGTTCTTCCTCCGTACCTCAGCGTTCCTCTACGGATCTGACCATGGACAGACTGATGGGGTCTGATGCTGCTGGAAACTGAAGACTGATCTGTGAGGAAAGCAGGGGGGGGGGGGTCACCAGCAGACGGCGAATTTCTAATCCATCACATTAGAAGAGCCTGAAGGAAACGACAGATATTGAATCAACTGACTACATTTCCCTAAAAGTTTCTACTTCTTCCTAAACCGGTGAATGTGTGAGAGGAACGTTCTGGAAGATCGTTTACCTTCCAGCTGATCAGCAGTTTCCTGAATGTGAACATTAATCCAGTCTCTGCCTGGACGGCAGGTAGCTTCGCTAACGCTAGCTGTTCAAGTAAATACAGCCTCCATGATTGCAATGTTCAACATCGCTCCATGACTGACCTGCTACTCTACTTCCTGTTCATCACAGGACGCCGTTACGCTTTACGCTGCTGGTTAATTCACTCCAGTGGATGGAAACGGTTTTTTATTTCCACGGTTTAATAGTTGACCTGAGACTCTGGTGGTAAATGTTTCCCACTGGTGGATGAATGTGGTTGATGGTTGATGGAGCGGCTTTGATTGCTTCTGTCTGTCGATTCACTGCTTTTCTAGAATGCAGTGATTTCTGCTCACAGCAGGATGACCAGCAACGATTTATAACCTCGTGTTTGAACCGCCATCCAAAGATCATCTAAAGCTGCCTTCAGCTGAACGGCCATCATGATGATGATGATGATGATGAGCTGAACGTAAACCAGGCCAGACATGGAGAGCTCCACCGTCAGAACCACAGACCCCGCATTGACTGTAACAGTGCAGGGATTACGGCCGCCATCTTGGGGAGGTCGACCTGCTCCCCTAAAGCCGGACGTACACTGAACCACACGGTTTAGTAGTACAGTGTGAGCTCGCAGCTCAGGATTTCTGTTTGGCCCGACGCTCTGATGCGATCTACCTGCTCACGCTGTACGACTAAAAGGAACGTCTGACTGCGCTCCGCGGTGAGATGGCGCCACACTGATGCGTTAATCCAGAAAGAGAGTAGGAGAGGAATATGAAGCTCTCTAGAGTGAAACGCGCTGCCTTGGATATTTGGGCAATTTTGTGTGCGATAGCCCCCCCAAAAAAAAAAAGGCAAAGAGGTATTTGAATAAAAGACATGGCTGAACAAACATGGCTACCAGGTCAGAACTGCATTTCACTCATTGCCCCCCCGCCATGCTGCTGGGTTTACATCTGAGAGGAAGAATCCTTCTTTGCACCCTGAGCCATTTGCCAACGACGGTTGGACCTCAGGATTCGAGATGGGGAGGTGGTAGTGAGAGGATGATCGGCGCTCATAACCCCCTGTTCACTACAGGCTCACCACGCACCATCAGGCTGAAAGTCGGCCTGATCGAAAGATTCTTGCACCACTGGAAAATGGCCCTGAGAATCTAACTAACTAACCCACGGTGTAGGCCGGGCTTAACCTGCTGCTTTAAGCACGAGAAGCAGGATTTAGTTTATATCTACAGACTGATGACATCACGGGTGGAGGGAGAGATTCAGAGCTTTGAAGACATTAGTGAATAAACCGCAGATATACACTACATAGATTAGAAACTCCTTTGTTCTCCCATAGTGGGGAAAACCTGTTTCAATAGCAGCAAAAGGTTACAGCAAAGGTGGTCACACAATGAGGAGCTGAGAAAGTGCATAAAAAGAACACAATAAGTGACAGAGTTAAAAAATATTTATATAAATATGTAGTATCATCATATCCAGTTTTATGCTTAAATACAACCACAGCTGAACAAAGTGCTTTAATTAAAACATTGTTAAAAATAAATGATTATAAAAAAATAAACATAAATACTGTGCATCTGAAGAACAGATTATCAATAAACAGCTGTAGATATTTGACATTATTAAAGTTACAGTATTATATAATATTTTTACAGCGTAGTTAAAAACAAAAGGAGCCCTGGGAGCCTGAGGGTTCTGCCAGTATCTTTGCTGGTCCCAGTGTTCCTTCACTCTGCTGCACTGAGATATCTGATGTATTTCCACCAATCTGCTGTAACTCCTCCAGTTTGGGGGCCACTGCCCCGAGGGCCCCAATGACCACGGGTCCCACTGATGCCTTGACCTTCCAGGTTTAAAGGAAGACTTTGTAATCAGAGTAAAGCATGAAGTTAATTAAACTTGTGTGATATTGATCTGGTCAGGTCAGTAGCAGAGGGGGGGGGGGGGGGGTGGGGTGTTAATCAGTTTCAGCTGCTTTGGTGTGAATAATAACCAACAACAGACGACAACGAGACGACCATCAGAACAGGAATGGTTTTACAGGTGGAGGCCGCTGACATTTTTCCCCTCCTCGTCTTTTCTGACTCTTTTTCACCAGTTTAGCATTTGGCTAGGGTCGCTGTCACTACTGTTAGCACGAGGCGCTACCTGGACCCTACAGAGGTTGACAGGCAGTCCAACTCCTCCAGGATGGCACATCAATACGTGCCATTGCCTGAAGGTTTGCTGCGTCTCCAAGCACAATCTGAAGAGCATTGAGGAGATTCCAGGAGACAGGCAGTTACTCCAGGAGAGCTGGACAGGGCCGTAGAAGGTCTACAACCCATCAGCAGGACCGCTATCTGCTCCTTTGTGCAAGGAGGAGCAGGAGGAGCACTGCCAGAGCCCTACAGAATGACCTCCAGCAGGCCACTGGTGTGAATGTCTCTGACCAAACAATCAGAAACAGACTTAAGGAGGGTGGCCTGAGGGCCCCACGTCCTCTAGTGGGCCCTGTGCCCACTGCCCGGCACCGTGGAGCTCCATTGGCATTTGCCAGAACACCGGAATTGGCAAGTGGGCCACTGGCGCCCTGTGCTTTTCACAGATGAGAGCAGGTTCACCCTGAGCACATGTGACAGACGTGAAAGGGTCTGGAGAAGCTGTGGAGAACGTTCTGCTGCCTGTAACATCGTTCAGCACGACTGGTTTGGTGGGGGGGTCAGTGATGGTCTGGGGAGGCATATCCATGGAGGGACGCACAGACCTATACAGGCTAGACAACACCACCCTGACTGCCATTAGGGATCGGGATGAAATCCTTGCACCCATTGTCAGACCCTATGCTGGTGCAGTGGGTCCTGGGTTCCTCCTGGTGCACGACAATGCCTGCAGGCAGTTCCTGCAGGATGAAGGAATTGATACCATTGATTGCCCCCCCACGCTCTCCTGACCTAAATCTAATAGAACACCTCTGGGACATTGTTTCCATCCATCCCACGCCGCCAGGCTGCCCCTCAGACTGTCCAGGAGCTCAGTGATGCCCTGGTCCAGATCTGGGAGGAGATACCCCAGGATGCCATCAGTCGTCTCATTAGGAGCACGCCCCGACGTTGTCAGGTATGCAGACATGCACGCGGGGGCCATACAGATGACTGAATACCATTTAGAGTTGCTGCAATAAAACTTCAGCATAATGGACTAGCCTGCCGCATCATTTTTTCACTGTAATTTTTGGGGTGTCTTTGAATTCAGCCCTCTGTAGGTTGATAATTTTCATTTCCATCAAATGATGCGGCATCCTTTGTTCCTAACACATCACCCAGTCCGTATGAGGATAAAGAAACAGCAGGATTATTTATTCCCATTGAGATCTGATGGGTTTTCAAAGGGTTGCTTTAATGTTTTGAGCACTGTAGAATAGAATATTCAGAATATTCTATTAACTCCACTAAGAAGATTTAAATAAACTGAACTATTTGTTTATTTTCAGCAAAAAACAAACTTAAAAATTAGTTTAACATTCAAAAAGTTAAAGTTGATTAAAATTTATTCTCTTCCTGCTCAACATCACAGCGAGCGGAGCTTTTGACCTCCCCAAGATGGCGTCACCAAATCATGCTAACAGGTGAAAGCGGTCAATGTGGGGTCTGCTCAGAGATTAGGAACGGTCTGAACCAGTAAGGGCTCAGGTTCTTCTGAGATTAACCAGTTTCTGTTTTCCTCAGCGATACCAATGAGCTCTTAGTCAGAATAATCTCTGCATAATCTGGGGCTGCTGGTGGATGCAGCTGTGGAAAACTAACTATTCAGTAGTTCTGGCTTATCTATGACAGAAAACGAGGTTTTGGCTCTTCAATTATTCAGATTGTTTCAAAAAGAGAGTATGCTGAAAACCGTTTCTGAATCTGCAAAGGTATTTCTGGAGCAAAGTCGGATCTTTTCAAACATGAAATTAGATGCATCAACGCACATATGTAACCAAACATTTAAATGAAAATGTTTCCTGAAAGATGATGAATAATCAACAAAGCGTTGGCTGAAAGCATGAAGCCTGCAGGCCCTGAGCTTTCTGCATGTTTAAATCTGAGCCGTTAACGTGCTGTACGGCGGTAAAACGCACGTGCCGTCCGTTCTTATTGATCAAGCTGTGGATATGTGTCGCAGTGACATCATTAATGGCAGGCAGAGGCGCGTCTGAGGAGCAGCGATGGCTCAGGGTGGAGTAAAGTGGCTTCATAGTGCTCATAAGGTGTGATAACCAGGTGATGGATGACAGGAAGAGGCTGGTTTTCCAGTGATATAAATGACATCAGTTTGTTGTTGTTAGCTTTAGCTTTTTCTCTGCCTTAAAGTTTTCACAGAAGCCTTCTGAATGCAGGCGTCCGCCCTCAATGTTGTTTTAGTCTTAGCCTCCATTAGCTGCTCCGTATTCTCTGCGCCTCGTTTCGCCACGATGATGATTTTTCAGGTTTATTGTGATAAAACCAGAAACCTTCTTTCCTCTGGAAATCCAGGCTGAACGGATTTAAACTGCTATGCTGTCGTCATCTAATACCCAGAAACACGACCGCGCTGGTGGAAGACATGCTTGTTTATTTACACTCGGGCCAAGCCTGGGTCCTGATGGTGAGCAGGGTAGGGGTTACTGTGCCTGAATAAAATGCCACCAAATGTAATGAATTTATCGGTATTATTATTGGAAATGCGATAGATGTCGGGTCTCCCTAGTTTCTGTTCCTTTGGTTTTATTCTCAGTCGGGACGTTTGGTTTGACCCTGAATGTCTGAGAATCGGACCGAACCGGATCAGGTCCGTCTTTGGTTGTTTATTTAGCTTTTTTAACGCGTCGACCTTTTCACGCTGACTCTCTGATATCCTGTGTTTGTAAAGCTCCCGTGGAGAACGGCGACGCAGAGATGACGGCAGAGGAGCCGTGGGACCAGAAAGACGAAGAGCCGACGCAGGAGGAGCCGGGAGGCGGCGACCGAGGACCGGAGGAAGCGGCCACGCCGGAGGACACGCCTCCTGAAATGATGATGGAGGAGGAGGAGGAGGTGTTGGTGCCAAAGGTACCAGCTGTACAGCCAGACGCTCCTAAGAAGGAGCACATCAACGTGGTTTTCATCGGACACGTAGGTCAGTGCTGCACCCGGGGGGGGCGGACCTTTGATGGTTGTTCTGGTTAAATAAAGGAAAATGTTGGATTTGCTCCTCAGACGCTGGGAAGTCGACCATCGGAGGACAGATTATGTGAGTCATTGTTCAGAGTGGCTCTGATTGGCTGATTGGCGTCGCTCTGACCCCTCCCCCATCCTCTCTGTCTAACAGGTATCTAACGGGCATGGTGGACAAGAGGACCTTAGAGAAGTACGAGAGGGAAGCTAAGGAGAAGAACAGAGAAACCTGGTGAGTGGAGCTCAGGAACAACATGGCCGCCATGGCGCCTCTCTATGACACGGCGCTCTGTCCTCAGGTACCTGTCCTGGGCTTTGGACACCAATCAGGAGGAGCGGGACAAGGGGAAGACGGTGGAGGTGGGCCGGGCGTACTTCGAGACGGACAAAAAGCACTTTACTATCTTAGACGCTCCGGGCCACAAGAGCTTCGTGCCCAACATGATCGGCGGCGCTTCCCAAGCTGACCTGGCGGTTCTGGTGGGTAGCAGAACCCGACCGCTCCAGCAGAACTGCTCACAAACTGGAATGTTCTGAACGGCTGCTGGTTCGTCTCCTCAGGTGATCTCTGCCAGGAAAGGGGAGTTTGAGACGGGCTTTGAGAAGGGCGGCCAGACGCGGGAGCACGCCATGCTGGCCAAGACGGCTGGCGTCAAGCACCTGATCGTCCTGGTCAACAAGATGGACGACCCCACAGTCGGCTGGAGCCTGGAGAGGTGGGTTCATGTCCCCGCTGCTGGCAGCTCAGTCTGCTGGGGATAGTTTCACAATGACGACATGATGACGGTCAGAGCGCAGCAGCAATAGATCAGCAATGACATCATGATGACGGTCAGAGCGCAGCAGCAATAGATCAGCGATGACATCATGATGACGGTCAGAGCGCAGCAGCAATAGATCAGCGATGACATCACGATGACGGTCAGAGCGCAGCAGCAATAGATCAGCGATGACATCACGATGACGGTCAGAGCGCAGCAGCAATAGATCAGCGATGACATCACGATGACGGTCAGAGCGCAGCAGCAATAGATCAGCGATGACATCACGATGACGGTCAGAGCGCAGCAGCAATAGATCAGCGATGACATCACGATGACGGTCAGAGCGCAGCAGCAATAGATCAGCGATGACATCACGATGACGGTCAGAGCGCAGCAGCAATAGATCAGCGATGACATCATGATGACGGTCAGAGCGCAGCAGCAATAGATCAGCGATGACATCACGATGACTGTCAGAGCGCAGCAGCAATAGATCAGCGATGACATCACGATGACGGTCAGAGCGCAGCAGCAATAGATCAGCGATGACATCACGATGACGGTCAGAGCGCAGCAGCAATAGATCAGCGATGACATCATGATGACGGTCAGAGCGCAGCAGCAATAGATCAGCCTAAAGCTCCAGAACAATGTTCCTTCCATGAAGTTCCTCCATGATCCGGCTGCTGCGTCTCCTAAACCAGCCGTTACTGAACTTCTAAGGTTTGAAATGATTAACGGAGCAGGAGCCGTTCCTCCTGGTGATGAGGAACCAGCTGCTCTGGACCTCCTGCTGAGGAGGAACCGGCAGCTGTGAACCTCCTGCTGAGGAGGAACCGGCAGCTGTGAACCTCCTGCTGAGGAGGAACCGACAGCTGTGAACCTCCTGCTGAGGAGGAACCGGCAGCTGTGAACCTCCTGCTGAGGAGGAACCGGCAGCTGTGAACCTCCTGCTGAGGAGGAACCGGAGGAACCGGCAGCCGTGAACCTCCTGCTGAGGAGGAACCGGCAGCCGTGAACCTCCTGCTGAGGAGGAACCGGCAGCCGTGAACCTCCTGCTGAGGAGGAACCGGCAGCCGTGAACCTCCTGCTGAGGAGGAACCGGCAGCCGTGAACCTCCTGCTGAGGAGGAACCGGCAGCTGTGAACCTCTTGGTGAGGAACCGGCAGCTGTGAACCTCCTGCTGAGGAGGAACCGGCAGCTTTGAACCTCTTGGTGAGGAACCGGCAGCTGTGAACCTCCTGCTGAGGAGGAACCGGCAGCTGTGAACCTCCTGCTGAGGAGGAACCGTCAGCCGTGAACCTCCTGCTGAGGAGGAACCGGAGGAACCGGCAGCCGTGAACCTCCTGCTGAGGAGGAACCGGCAGCCGTGAACCTCCTGCTGAGGAGGAACCGGCAGCCGTGAACCTCCTGCTGAGGAACCGGCAGCCGTGAACCTCCTGCTGAGGAGGAACCGGCAGCCGTGAACCTCCTGCTGAGGAGGAACCGGAGGAACCGGCAGCCGTGAACCTCCTGCTGAGGAGGAACCGGAGGAACCGGCAGCCGTGAACCTCCTGCTGAGGAGGAACCGGAGGAACCGGCAGCGGTGAACCTCCTGCTGAGGAGGAACCGGAGGAACCGGCAGCCCTGAACCTCCTGCTGAGGAGGAACCGGAGGAACCGGCAGCGGTGAACCTCCTGCTGAGGAGGAACCGGCAGCCGTGAACCTCCTGCTGAGGAGGAACCGGAGGAACCGGCAGCCGTGAACCTCCTGCTGAGGAGGAACCGGAGGAACCGGCAGCCCTGAACCTCCTGCTGAGGAGGAACCGGAGGAACCGGCAGCGGTGAACCTCCTGCTGAGGAGGAACCGGAGGAACCGGCAGCCGTGAACCTCCTGCTGAGGAGGAACCGGCAGCCGTGAACCTCCTGCTGAGGAGGAACCGGCAGCCGTGAACCTCCTGCTGAGGAGGAACCGGAGGAACCGGCAGCCGTGAACCTCCTGCTGAGGAGGAACCGGCAGCCGTGAACCTCCTGCTGAGGAGGAACCGGCAGCCGTGAACCTCCTGCTGAGGAACCGGCAGCCGTGAACCTCCTGCTGAGGAACCGGCAGCTGTGAACCTCCTGCTGAGGAGGAACCGGCAGCCGTGAACCTCCTGCTGAGGAGGAACCGGCAGCCGTGAACCTCCTGCTGAGGAGGAACCGGCAGCCGTGAACCTCCTGCTGAGGAACCGGCAGCTGTGAACCTCCTGCTGAGGAGGAACCGGCAGCCGTGAACCTCCTGCTGAGGAACCGGCAGCCGTGAACCTCCTGCTGAGGAACCGGCAGCCGTGAACCTCCTGCTGAGGAACCGGCAGCCGTGAACCTCCTGCTGAGGAGGAACCGGCAGCCGTGAACCTCCTGCTGAGGAGGAACCGGCAGCCGTGAACCTCCTGCTGAGGAGGAACCGGCAGCCGTGAACCTCCTGCTGAGGAACCGGCAGCCGTGAACCTCCTGCTGAGGAGGAACCGGCAGCCGTGAACCTCCTGCTGAGGAGGAACCGGCAGCCGTGAACCTCCTGCTGAGGAACCGGCAGCCTGTGAACCTCCTGCTGAGGAACCGGCAGCCTGTGAACCTCCTGCTGAGGAGGAACCGGCAGCCGTGAACCTCCTGCTGAGGAGGAACCGGCAGCCGTGAACCTCCTGCTGAGGAGGAACCGGCAGCCGTGAACCTCCTGCTGAGGAGGAACCGGCAGCCGTGAACCTCCTGCTGAGGAGGAACCGGCAGCCGTGAACCTCCTGCTGAGGAGGAACCGGCAGCCGTGAACCTCCTGCTGAGGAGGAACCGGCAGCCGTGAACCTCCTGCTGAGGAGGAACCGGCAGCCGTGAACCTCCTGCTGAGGAGGAACCGGCAGCCGTGAACCTCCTGCTGAGGAGGAACCGGCAGCCGTGAACCTCCTGCTGAGGAGAACCGGCAGCCGTGAACCTCCTGCTGAGGAGGAACCGGCAGCCGTGAACCTCCTGCTGAGGAGGAACCGGCAGCCGTGAACCTCCTGCTGAGGAGGAACCGGCAGCCGTGAACCTCCTGCTGAGGAACCGGCAGCCGTGAACCTCCTGCTGAGGAGGAACCGGCAGCCGTGAACCTCCTGCTGAGGAACCGGCAGCCGTGAACCTCCTGCTGAGGAACCGGCAGCCGTGAACCTCCTGCTGAGAGGAACCGGCAGCCGTGAACCTCCTGCTGAGGAGGAACCGGCAGCCGTGAACCTCCTGCTGAGGAGGAACCGGCAGCCGTGAACCTCCTGCTGAGGAGGAACCGGCAGCCGTGAACCTCCTGCTGAGGAACCGGCAGCCGTGAACCTCCTGCTGAGGAGGAACCGGCAGCCGTGAACCTCCTGCTGAGGAGGAACCGGCAGCCGTGAACCTCCTGCTGAGGAGGAACCGGCAGCCGTGAACCTCCTGCTGAGGAGGAACCGGCAGCCGTGAACCTCCTGCTGAGGAGGAACCGGCAGCCGTGAACCTCCTGCTGAGAGGAACCGGCAGCCGTGAACCTCCTGCTGAGGAGGAACCGGCAGCCGTGAACCTCCTGCTGAGGAGGAACCGGCAGCCGTGAACCTCCTGCTGAGGAGGAACCGGCAGCCGTGAACCTCCTGCTGAGGGAACCGGCAGCCGTGAACCTCCTGCTGAGGAACCGGCAGCCGTGAACCTCCTGCTGAGGAGAACCGGCAGCCGTGAACCTCCTGCTGAGGAGGAACCGGCAGCCGTGAACCTCCTGCTGAGGAACCGGCAGCCGTGAACCTCCTGCTGAGGAACCGGCAGCCGTGAACCTCCTGCTGAGGAACCGGCAGCCGTGAACCTCCTGCTGAGGAACCGGCAGCCGTGAACCTCCTGCTGAGGAGGAACCGGCAGCCGTGAACCTCCTGCTGAGGAGGAACCGGCAGCCGTGAACCTCCTGCTGAGGAGGAACCGGCAGCCGTGAACCTCCTGCTGAGGAACCGGCAGCCGTGAACCTCCTGCTGAGGAGGAACCGGCAGCCGTGAACCTCCTGCTGAGGAGGAACCGGCAGCCGTGAACCTCCTGCTGAGGAACCGGCAGCCGTGAACCTCCTGCTGAGGAGGAACCGGCAGCCGTGAACCTCCTGCTGAGGAGGAACCGGCAGCCGTGAACCTCCTGCTGAGGAACCGGCAGCCGTGAACCTCCTGCTGAGGGAACCGGCAGCCGTGAACCTCCTGCTGAGGAACCGGCAGCCGTGAACCTCCTGCTGAGGAACCGGCAGCCGTGAACCTCCTGCTGAGGAGGAACCGGCAGCCGTGAACCTCCTGCTGAGGAGGAACCGGCAGCCGTGAACCTCCTGCTGAGGAGGAACCGGCAGCCGTGAACCTCCTGCTGAGGAGGAACCGGCAGCCGTGAACCTCCTGCTGAGGAGAACCGGCAGCCGTGAACCTCCTGCTGAGGAGAACCGGCAGCCGTGAACCTCCTGCTGAGGAGGAACCGGCAGCCGTGAACCTCCTGCTGAGGAGGAACCGGCAGCCGTGAACCTCCTGCTGAGGAGGAACCGGCAGCCGTGAACCTCCTGCTGAGGAACCGGCAGCCGTGAACCTCCTGCTGAGGAGAACCGGCAGCCGTGAACCTCCTGCTGAGGAGGAACCGGCAGCCGTGAACCTCCTGCTGAGGAGAACCGGCAGCCGTGAACCTCCTGCTGGAGGAACCGGCAGCCGTGAACCTCCTGCTGAGGAGGAACCGGCAGCCAGTGAACCTCCTGCTGAGGAGAACCGGCAGCCTGTGAACCTCCTGCTGAGGAACCCGGCAGCTCGTGAACCTCCTGCTGAGGAGGAACCGGCAGCCGTGAACCTCTCCTGCTGAGGAGGAACGGCAGCCGTGAACCTCCTGCTGAGGAGAACCGGCAGCCGTGAACCTCCTGCTGAGGAGGAACCGGCAGCCGTGAACCTCCTGCTGAGGAGGAACCCGGCAGCCGTGAACCCTCCTGCTGAGGAGGAACCGGCAGCCGTGAACCTCCTGCTGAGGAGGAACCGGCAGCCGTGAACCTCCTGCTGAGGGGAACCGGGCAGCCGTGAACCCTCCTGCTGAGGGGAACCGGCAGCCGTGAACCTCCTGCTGAGGAGGAACCGGCAGCCCGTGAACCTCCTGCTGAGGAGGAACCGGCAGCCGTGAACCATCCTGCTGAGGAGGAACCGGCAGCCGTGAACCTCCTGCTGAGGAGGAACCGGCAGCCGTGAACCTCCTGCTGAGGAGGAACCGGCAGCCGTGAACCTCCTGCTGAGGAGGAACCGGCAGCCGTGAACCTCCTGCTGAGGAACCGGCAGCCGTGAACCTCCTGCTGAGGAACCGGCAGCCGTGAACCTCCTGCTGAGGAACCGGCAGCCGTGAACCTCCTGCTGAGGAACCGGCAGCCGTGAACCTCCTGCTGAGGAGAACCGGCAGCCGTGAACCTCCTGCTGAGGAGGAACCGGCAGCCGTGAACCTCCTGCTGAGGAGGAACCGGCAGCCGTGAACCTCCTGCTGAGGAGGAACCGGCAGCCGTGAACCTCCTGCTGAGGAGGAACCGGCAGCCGTGAACCTCCTGCTGAGGAGGAACCGGCAGCCGTGAACCTCCTGCTGAGGAGGAACCGGCAGCCGTGAACCTCCTGCTGAGGAGGAACCGGCAGCCGTGAACCTCCTGCTGAGGAGGAACCGGCAGCCGTGAACCTCCTGCTGAGGAGGAACCGGCAGCCGTGAACCTCCTGCTGAGGAGGAACCGGCAGCCGTGAACCTCCTGCTGAGGAGGAACCGGCAGCCGTGAACCTCCTGCTGAGGAGGAACCGGCAGCCGTGAACCTCCTGCTGAGGAGGAACCGGCAGCCGTGAACCTCCTGCTGAGGAGGAACCGGCAGCCGTGAACCTCCTGCTGAGGAGGAACCGGCAGCCGTGAACCTCCTGCTGAGGAACCGGCAGCCGTGAACCTCCTGCTGAGGAACCGGCAGCCGTGAACCTCCTGCTGAGGAGGAACCGGCAGCCGTGAACCTCCTGCTGAGGAGGAACCGGCAGCCGTGAACCTCCTGCTGAGGAGGAACCGGCAGCCGTGAACCTCCTGCTGAGGAGGAACCGGCAGCCGTGAACCTCCTGCTGAGGAGGAACCGGCAGCCGTGAACCTCCTGCTGAGGAACCGGCAGCCGTGAACCTCCTGCTGAGGAACCGGCAGCCGTGAACCTCCTGCTGAGGAACCGGCAGCCGTGAACCTCCTGCTGAGGAGGAACCGGCAGCCGTGAACCTCCTGCTGAGGAGGAACCGGCAGCTCATGTAGAGTTAGAGGCTCAGCTCTGAGCCTGTCAGGTTCCTGTCCTGGTTCCTCCTCTTCATGCCCAGCCAGTGAGGGTAAACGTGTGGTTCTCCTGTTCTCCTCTCCCTGCAGGTATGAGGAGTGTAAAGAGAAGCTGGTGCCGTTCCTGAAGAAGGTGGGCTTCAACCCAAAGAAGGACATTCACTTCATGCCTTGTTCTGGCCTCACTGGAGCCAACCTCAAGGAGCCCACCGACCTTTGCCCCTGGTACACGTAAGTACAGCGCCTCCCCTGGTGACCGTAGAGCCGCAGCGTTTCTCCTCACTCACCCTGCTCTCTCTGACCCCCCCCAGATGTCTGCCCTTCATTCCACACCTGGACAGTTTGCCAAACTTCAACAGATCCAGCGACGGTCCCGTCCGATTGCCCATCGTAGACAAATACAAGGTAGGCTGATGGTTTCTAGACGCTGTCTCCATGGAAACAGCAGGGGCCTGCAGACGTTCGCTCTGAATGTTTGGGAAGGTTTTATCTCCATCAAGCTGCGTTCACAGTCATCAAGACCTGAGCGTCAAAAACTCAGAAATCTGGATCAAACCGGTCCAGCTGCTCTGATGGTTTTTCTGCTCTGCAGCTTCCAGCTGGACAGCAGCTCTGCTTCATTTAGTTTATCAGCTGGAAAAAGAGTTTTAACAGGTTTCTAAGTGAGAAAGTCCACCTCCTAACATCCTCTGTTCATCAGTTCATCAGGATTATAATCTGCAGTTCTTACTGGGAGCTCCAGACCTCCAGCATCCCGCCGGAAGGCGGCGCTGGGAATCCCCGCTGGAAGCTCTCTGCTGCAGGCAGGCAGCCTGGGGGGGATTTCCTGCTGCAGGAAGGTTAAAAACTGCAAGAACCAGAATAAACAATCCAATATTTGAACATTTCTAGTTAATCTGGGGATTTATAAACAGTTTCTCCATAGTTCATAAAAATGTTTTAGTGCAGCAGTAATGATCAGAGCTGCTCTCTGTTCCTCCTGCATAACCATCCATCCTACCTGCTTTATTTAACCTTTGGAGTTAAATTAAACTCCTTGATTTATTTTCTAATGTCTGCAGAAGCGATGGCAGCTTGCAGGTAGTGTCTCCCCCCCTCATAGAACTCCTGCATCACTTTCTCTGATTGGTTGATGCTCTGGCGTCCAGCGGTTTAGATTTCTGAACTCCATCATCAGACGCTGTGAAGCTCTGACAGGACGTCTCAGCGCCGCTTGACGGCGTCCGCCATTGAGTCGGACGCTTTGACACTCAGAACGCATTCGCTGTGAACTCACCTTCAGTCACGGGAGCAATCTGCTGCTCGGTGGAGGTTTCTAGTTAAAAATGATTTTACAGACGTCAGCGTCTCATAAACGATACATTTTTCATTTTCTTTCTTCATTTAAAACCTGATTTAGCTGCAGTTTAAAATGAAGTGATTGTAAAAGGCTGATCCAGAGTCAGCTGTGGTCAGAGATGTTGATCTGTGCTCTGCCTACAGGACATGGGGACCGTGGTCCTCGGGAAGCTGGAGTCGGGTTCCATCAGTAAAGCTCAGCAGCTCGTCATGATGCCCAACAGGGTGAGATGTTCCACCTACAACCTTCACACTAACATGGCCGCTAATCTATCCCAGATTATTGGATTTTAATCCAGAAAAAACAGAATCTTTTAAAACAAACATTGGTTCTGGTTCTCCTCCCCATCCCTCCCTCTCCTGACCCGTCTGGGTCCACGCAGCACGTGGTGGAGGTTCTGAGTCTCCTCTCGGATGACGTGGAGACGGAGGACGCAGGTCCAGGTGAGAACCTGAAGCTGCGGCTGAAGGGGATCGAGGAAGAGGAGATTCTGCCGGGCTTCATCCTCTGTACCTCTGACAGTCTGTGTCATTCGGGTCGGACCTTCGACGCTCAGGTACGTCCGGCGGCAGTGGTTCCGCCGCTCGCCTCCCAGACGCCGGTCCTGATGTCCCGCTGTCCTCCACAGATCGTCATCATTGAACATAAATCCATCATCTGTCCGGGTTACAACGCCGTGCTTCACATCCACACGTGCATCGAAGAGGTCCAGATCACGGTAAGCCGCCGCCGCCTCCCGTTGACCTCCTTCTGGAGCCCAGCCTCCTGCTAACGCGCGTCTCCCGGCAGGCTTTGATCTGCCTGGTGGACAAGAAGACCGGAGACAAGAGCAAGACGCGTCCGCGGTTCGTTAAGCAGGACCAGGTGTGCATCGCCCGTCTGCGCACGGCGGGAACTATCTGCCTCGAGACCTTTAAGGACTTTCCTCAGATGGGCCGCTTCACCCTACGGGACGAAGGTAAGCCGGCGGCGGGGGGTTCTGTTGGGTTTCACCCGTCCTGATGGCTCCGTCCATCAGTAGTCCCTCAGGGAAGCACGGTGGTGGCCGCATCATGCTTCCCCAAACCCAGTGATCCCACTGAGTCCAACAGCGCTGGACTGCATGTCCCTGGACTGTTGCCATGACAACCAGTCAGCGCTGGATGCTGAGGTGAGGATGAGGAGCAGCAGAGGCGAAGGTTTAAACGGTCAAAATGGAGGATAGCCGCCATCAGCTTCTACCAACGCTGGCAGCTCTGTGATTGGCTGGATGGAGCAGCCAGCTGACCTCTGACCTTTAGAACTGCTGGGATCCTCAGAAACAGCAGTGCAGCAAAAATAAAATAAATGGAAAATAACTTTATTATAGGAATAGAAGCCTGTAGTTCATTCCGTTCCTGGGTGATCCGGGTCTCTGATCTGGTACCAGAACCGAGCCGTGACCCAAACTATGATCACTGGGTTTGATCCGATGTTGGTGTGGATCTGACTGAAGGTTGTGTCTGTCTGCAGGTAAGACCATCGCCATCGGGAAGGTCCTGAAGCTGGTCGCTGAGCGGGACTGAGGAGGACGGCGCCGCCTGGAGTCTCTGTGAGAAGGACGTGGCCTCTGTCCTCGGCAGCGGCGGCGGCTCCCCGTCGCGCCTCGCCGTGCGTCTTGAAGTTGAGCTCTGGGAAACAGAGGCGTGTTTTTAAACTGAATGCTAGCGGCAGGAGTCGGCTTTCTCATATTGAGATCTCCGTTCTGCCGTTCTGGGTCCAGCTCTCCCATTCCTCCATTAAACCAGCTCTTTTCTTCCACTTTCCATTTCTCTGGCCGCCGCTCGCAGGTGGCCGAACTTCCGCCATGAACACAAGGACCAGGATGCTGGATGAGATTCCGAGGACTGGAAGTTTTCTCGGTTCTGTTTCCTTTTGCTTTTACCCAGTTTTGTTTCTGACGCTCTGGCTGTTAGCTGCAGCGTTGATCAAATGTTAAAGCTGTTCCAATAAAACATTGATTGGGAAAATCGGCGTGTTTGTCAGAGCTCACCACCGCCCCCTGCTGGCCCACAGCCTGCATCAGATTTTAATGCTTGAAGTTGTTTTCTGATCTGACGATCATTATGGGAGGAATGAAAGGTTTGATTTTAATCAAAGAAGGAAAACGAATTTACTTCAGGTTCTTCAGGCTCCTGGAGCTGCTGGTGTCCACCTGAAGCTAAAGGTGTTCATCATCTGGAGGTCCAACCAGACCAGAACCAAGCATCACACCAACGCTGCTCAATGTCTTATTTCAGGGTCACTTTGTTCCCAGGAGCCATTTAATCAGATCTGGTCTGGTTTCCTCTGAAGGTCGACGTCCTGGAATCTCCTGGGAGACGGACTGGCTGCAGCCTTCCTCCTCACAGAGGTTCTGATCCAGGGAACGTGATCAGAACCTCTGAGGGGTTCTGAAGCTTTGGTACCAACTGGACCAGCTGATAGATGAAGGCTATGGGGTGTCCATCACGCCGCAGCAGAAAGCACCGACTTTTGCTGACTATCTGTTCCATCACCTGCTGCAGGGCGGGGCTTCCCTCTGAAGCTCCGCCCCCACCCTGAATCAGGAATGTTTGTCTAATTAAAGCTGTGAAATGAAAAGAAGCAGAGATGTAATTCAGTCGGTTTCTGCTTTGAAAAGGTTTTGCTTCAGCTGTTCCTCCTCGCTCTGTGACTCCAGGGGGCGCTGTTCTGGTTCGTGCTAAAGTTAACCCTCCCAGTGAGGGAACACCTGTGGATCTCCTCCCTGAGGCTGGATTTGGCTTCATAATGAACTGCTGGTTCTGAATAATAGCAGCTGTGAAGCTCCGCAGCGAGGCGAAATATGGAGGCAGGTTAGCGTCACCGATGCGAAAGATGGAGGCAGGTTAGCGTCACAGCGATGGTAAAGATGGAGGCAGGTTAGCGTCACAGCGATGGTAAAGATGGAGGCAGGTTAGCGTCACAGCGATATGAGAGATGGAGGCAGGTTAGCGTCACAGCGATGGTAAAGATGGAGGCAGGTTAGCGTCACAGCGATGGTAAAGATGGAGGCAGGTTAGCGTCACAGCGATGGTAAAGATGGAGGCAGGTTAGCGTCACAGCGATATGAGAGATGGAGGCAGGTTAGCGTCACAGCGATGGTAAAGATGGAGGCAGGTTAGCGTCACAGCGATGGTAAAGATGGAGGCAGGTTAGCGTCACAGAGATGGTAAAGATGGAGGCAGGTTAGCGTCACAGCGATGCCAAAGATGGAGGCAGGTTAGCGTCACAGAGATGGTAAAGATGGAGGCAGGTTAGCGTCACAGCGATGCCAAAGATGGAGGCAGGTTAGCGTCACAGCGATATGAGAGATGGAGGCAGGTTAGCGTCACAGCGATATGAAAGATGGAGGCAGGTTAGCGTCACAGCGATGGTAAAGATGGAGGCAGGTTAGCGTCACAGCGATATGAGAGATGGAGGCAGGTTAGCATCACAGCGATGGCAAAGATGGAGGCAGGTTGGCGTCACAGCGATATGAAAGATGGAGGCAGGTTAGCGTCACAGCGATGGTAAAGATGGAGGCAGGTTAGCGTCACAGCGATGGTAAAGATGGAGGCAGGTTAGCGTCACAGCGATATGAGAGATGGAGGCAGGTTAGCGTCACAGAGATGGTAAAGATGGAGGCAGGTTAGCGTCACAGAGATGGTAAAGATGGAGGCAGGTTAGCGTCACAACGATGGTAAAGATGGAGGCAGGTTAGCGTCACAGCGATGGTAAAGATGGAGGCAGGTTAGCGTCACAGAGATGGTAAAGATGGAGGCAGGTTAGCGTCACAGCGATGGTAAAGATGGAGGCAGGTTAGCGTCACAACGATATGAAAGATGGAGGCAGGTTAGCGTCACAGCGATGGTAAAGATGGAGGCAGGTTAGCGTCACAGCGATGGTAAAGATGGAGGCAGGTTAGCGTCACAGCGATATGAGAGATGGAGGCAGGTTAGCGTCACGGCGATGCCAAAGATGGAGGCAGGTTAGCGTCACAGCGATGCGAAAGATGGAGGCAGGTTAGCGTCACAGCGATGCGAAAGATGGAGGCAGGTTAGCGTCACAGCGATATGAGAGATGGAGGCAGGTTAGCGTCACAGCGATATGAGAGATGGAGGCAGGTTAGCGTCACAGCGATATGAGAGATGGAGGCAGGTTAGCGTCACAGCGATATGAGAGATGGAGGCAGGTTAGCGTCACAGCGATATGAGAGATGGAGGCAGGTTAGCGTCACAGCGATATGAGAGATGGAGGCAGGTTAGCGTCACAGCGATATGAGAGATGGAGGCAGGTTAGCGTCACAGAGATGGTAAAGATGGAGGCAGGTTAGCGTCACAGCGATGGTAAAGATGGAGGCAGGTTAGCGTCACAGCGATGGTAAAGATGGAGGCAGGTTAGCATCACAGCGATGGTAAAGATGGAGGCAGGTTAGCGTCACAGCGATGCCAAAGATGGAGGCAGGTTAGCGTCACAGCGATATGAAAGATGGAGGCAGGTTAGCGTCACAGCGATGGTAAAGATGGAGGCAGGTTAGCGTCACAGCGATATGAAAGATGGAGGCAGGTTAGCGTCACAGAGATGGCAAAGATGGAGGCAGGTTAGCGTCACAGAGATGGTAAAGATGGAGGCAGGTTAGCGTCACAGCGATGGTAAAGATGGAGGCAGGTTAGCGTCACAGCGATGGTAAAGATGGAGGCAGGTTAGCGTCACAGCGATATGAAAGATGGAGGCAGGTTAGCGTCACAGAGATGGCAAAGATGGAGGCAGGTTGGCGTCACAGAGATGGTAAAGATGGAGGCAGGTTAGCGTCACAGCGATGGTAAAGATGGAGGCAGGTTAGCGTCACAGCGATGGTAAAGATGGAGGCAGGTTAGCGTCACAGCGATGGTAAAGATGGAGGCAGGTTAGCGTCACAGCGATATGAAAGATGGAGGCAGGTTAGCGTCACGGCGATGCCAAAGATGGAGGCAGGTTAGCGTCACGGCGATGCCAAAGATGGAGGCAGGTTAGCGTCACGGCGATGCCAAAGATGGAGGCAGGTTAGCGTCACAGCGATATGAGAGATGGAGGCAGGTTAGCGTCACGGCGATGTCAGAGATGGAGGCAGGTTAGCGTCACAGCGATATGAGAGATGGAGGCAGGTTAGCGTCACAGCGATATGAGAGATGGAGGCAGGTTAGCGTCACAGCGATATGAGAGATGGAGGCAGGTTAGCGTCACAGCGATATGAAAGATGGAGGCAGGTTAGCGTCACAGCGATATGAGAGATGGAGGCAGGTTAGCGTCACAGCGATATGAGAGATGGAGGCAGGTTAGCGTCACAGCGATGGTAAAGATGGAGGCAGGTTAGCGTCACAGCGATGGTAAAGATGGAGGCAGGTTAGCGTCACAGAGATGGTAAAGATGGAGGCAGGTTAGCGTCACAGAGATGGTAAAGATGGAGGCAGGTTAGCGTCACAGCGATGCCAAAGATGGAGGCAGGTTAGCGTCACAGAGATGGTAAAGATGGAGGCAGGTTAGCGTCACAGCGATATGAAAGATGGAGGCAGGTTAGCGTCACAGCGATATGAGAGATGGAGGCAGGTTAGCGTCACAGCGATGGTAAAGATGGAGGCAGGTTAGCGTCACAGCGATGGTAAAGATGGAGGCAGGTTAGCGTCACAGCGATATGAGAGATGGAGGCAGGTTAGCGTCACAGCGATATGAGAGATGGAGGCAGGTTAGCGTCACAGCGATATGAAAGATGGAGGCAGGTTAGCGTCACAGCGATGGTAAAGATGGAGGCAGGTTAGCGTCACAGCGATATGAGAGATGGAGGCAGGTTAGCGTCACGGCGATGCCAAAGATGGAGGCAGGTTAGCGTCACAGCGATATGAGAGATGGAGGCAGGTTAGCGTCACAGCGATGCCAAAGATGGAGGCAGGTTAGCGTCACAGCGATGGTAAAGATGGAGGCAGGTTAGCGTCACAGCGATATGAGAGATGGAGGCAGGTTAGCGTCACAGCGATATGAGAGATGGAGGCAGGTTAGCGTCACAGAGATGGTAAAGATGGAGGCAGGTTAGCGTCACAGCGATATGAGAGATGGAGGCAGGTTAGCGTCACAGCGATATGAGAGATGGAGGCAGGTTAGCGTCACAGCGATATGAGAGATGGAGGCAGGTTAGCGTCACAGCGATATGAGAGATGGAGGCAGGTTAGCGTCACAGCGATGCCAAAGATGGAGGCAGGTTAGCGTCACAGCGATATGAGAGATGGAGGCAGGTTAGCGTCACAGCGATATGAGAGATGGAGGCAGGTTAGCGTCACGGCGATATGAGAGATGGAGGCAGGTTAGCGTCACGGCGATATGAGAGATGGAGGCAGGTTAGCGTCACGGCGATATGAGAGATGGAGGCAGGTTAGCTAGGGTGACCAAACGTCCGTATTTCCCGGGACATATCCGTATTTCACGTCCTGTCCCGGGCGTCCCGGGTTTTTTTAGAAAGTGAGGAAATGTCCTGATTTCACTGCGCACGACGCTCCGTGTGACGTAATCCCTGAGCCGCGTCAGTGCGGGCAGCCCTGCTCTTAATCAGAGGCTCTGTTCGAAAAACCTGGGCTGCATCCTCCAAGGACGCGGTCTACCTAGACTGGATCCTTCGAAGTCCTTGAAAATAAGGAGACCGGAAGAGTTTTGGCTGTAAATTCGACCAGGTCCACCCTTCGACGGGTTTTACCGCCGTATGCTCTGTTGCTTAGCAACCGTGAAAGTTGACACACAAAGCAGGAAAAGAAGGAATACCGAGGTTTTCAAAACTGTTTGTTTATTTATTTCTTTTTTATTGTGAAGTGAACAGAGACTACACTCACAAGAATCCAGAGTGGAATAAATGTTCCAACCAGCGGGAGCAGGAACAAATCAAATCAAATGTAATGATAGAAACCTTAGTCAGTTAAATAACCTGCTGCTGTCATTCTGCACATCTCTGATGTTGCTGCTATTT